GGTCTGGGTTCAATATTGAAGGTGTCCGCTGCACTGAGGTCCCTCTGTGTGTGCATATATGAGCGTGTGTGCGTGCACGCTGACAAGTGTATATGATTGTGTGTGGGCATGCATGCGCACATTTGTTGTGCATGTATGTGCATGGCATGATCCAGTACATCTAAATTATACAGCTGCCAAATTGCTGCAAATGTTTTAATACAAAAGCATTCTGTGGTCTCTAATTATATCTAATGGCTGCTGGATGCATTTCTCCACAGCAGAAAACCCAGCCTATTCTGAGGACAATTTGGCTTTTTTTCAACTATTTTTATATTTAATTGCGCAAAGCACTGAAAAATAACAATATTGACTCAGATGCGGCCAGTTTTTATATAAACGAGACCTCTGAGAGGGTTAGGATGATGTTTTCCTTGAGCAGGGGGGCATGTGAGGGCCTTGAGGAGTGTGAATGTAGGCCTGACTCCCCAGAGGAACCTGAAGACGCAGAGGCTCTACCAGGGGGGTCAACCTTAAACCATTAATCATGTCTACATTACCGCCTTCCAACTAGCATATGCCTGTGGCTGGTAGACAGTAAGTCAGTTAGGGCTTTCCTCTGTGTCGCTCTAGAAGCTTTCATACCGGGAGAGAGAAGTGTTAAAACTCTATATTCTCACTTCTGACTCACTGATTTAACCACATTGAAGCAGGAGCAGCAGCAGAATACTCCTGTGGTGTAAATCTGTTAGTCCAAAGAAAAAAAAAAGGCAAGAGGAGAAAAAAAAAATAAAGGGTCCTCCTGAAATGCAGTTTCTGAGTCAGGGTTAGCGATGTGATAAAAGCCCAGCTTGTTTGGCAGTAATAGCGCTATGGGAAAGGACAGAGGAGCAGGGGTGAGCTGGGCCGGGTTCTCTTGGCGGCCATGGCTGGTTGGTTGGTTTGTTGGTTGGTTGGTTGGAGACTAGGACCTTCTCCTCCTCCCTCCCTTCCCCGCCCCGACTCTCCTCAAGCTAAGAGAGTATACTCTTGTCAGAGAGGGCATGTTATCTTGGGAGCTTAAAGCCGAGTCAATACAACAACGCCACCCTCCCTTACACCTCACGTTCCAGGGAACACGTATATCCAGTCTACGCTGTCAAACTTTTAGCACCTGCTATTTTGCTCTGGTCCCTTAAGTCAATTCCTCTAGTGTTTCAGGGGGAAGAGGCTGGGAGAAGTGGGTCAGCAAAGGTTGATGCTAAAACAGGGATGAGGGTGAGATTCAGGCCATTGGTGTACCATTGGCTTTTGGCGTTACTCGCTTGATGATGACACAGTGAGTGAAAGCTAAAAGGGTGAACGTGTCAAATTTAGTTAAGTTTACCAGATTTATTGTAGTAGATGTTGTCGTTACTTCGACTTAACTTCAACCCTATCCTAATATAATCAATATAAAATATTTTAGAAGAGACAATCAAGCCCAGTCAAGTCAGTTTTCTACACAAGTCCATTAAAGCTCCTGCAAAACATTAAGGTTTGCGTCAGTTTTGGTGCCCCTGTGGCAAAAGTAACACCATTTATATCTGCTGCAATAGATTTAGAATTAAAAATAACTTAAAAGAGACGATCAGCCTTTATATTGATATCGATTGGTCTTGTAGCTCAAAGCAGGACATCAATATTAATTTAAGTCTGTTTCATAACCAGTTAAAAACTCCCCACAGTATCTTTAAAAGAAATAAAGGGAAGCTATTATTGTTGGTGGGAAACTAAACTGTATAAAACATGGATGTGACATCACTCAGAGGTTTCTGAAGAGGGGTTTTGAGGCCCCACAACAGCTATCAACATATTGGAAATGCTGACTCCGGCTAACTTCAGGTGTTGCCCTGCATCCCTGGACTCCTGTGCAGTTCTGCATGTGCAGCATTTGAGTCAAAGTCAAATTTCCCCCAGTGGAAATAAAGTGTATCATATTGTGTTGAATCTTAAAGTATTCCAACATATACCGTATCTGTCCGTAGCTGTCCACGCCTGATCGACAGCTACAACATGCCAACACAAGTATACATCTTAGTCTAAATACCTTCAAATGTCATGCATTACAAAACAAAATTAGTCCCAGATCAAAGGAGGCAATTTAACATGAGAGTTTAAGAAATTCCCTTTTGCTCTTACAGCTGGCCTCAAGTGGACACTCAAAGGACTGCAGGTTTTTGCACATCTGTGTTGGCTGCATACATTTCAAAATTCTACATGTCGACCTTATAGGAAGCAATAGGGAGGTAGAGGACAGTAAATCCGCAGATCTGTGGTCATGAGAAGTTGTGAAATGTCTGTGCAGTGTTTCAGTTTTCTTTTCTTTTTGTAACGAGTCTTGCGTCTGTGCTTTGAACAAGCTGGAAGTTGGAAAGGGGCAGACTGATTTCTCTATTGACAGAAATGCAGAAATCAAAGCCAAGAAGAAAAAGAAACTCGGACAATAGTCTCTCAATAATTAACAGGCAGACATTATTTTGATTTTGTGATATCTAAGAAAAAAAGATGCTGGTGCTCAGCGCTGAGTTAATTTGTTGTCATTTTTAGAGCAATAATCCAGAATAAATCAAAGTCTGATTTTAAAAATTCTTACCTTAGTTTGGAGATAAATTGAATTTAATGTTAATCCTCAAAGTACACTTAAGAGTTTCTACACCATATAGTTTACAAACCTTAAGGGGTGGTAGATCAGGGTGTTGTCAGCATTGTGATAGTGGAAGATATTATACTTTTTAAATACAGCCCATTTACTGCATGTATTCTAAACAAATATAAATATTACTGGACTTAAAATCTACTGTAATCATGACATTATCTTCATTTCATTGAAGGAATAAAAGCAGCACAGATAGTTAACACTAACCCTCCCTCCCATAGTGTGTACCTGCTGCTGTCCCCACAGGCCTGGGGTGACACTTTCTATAATGCAGTAATCCAAAAATCATGTTATCATGCCTTGGGGAATCAAATACAGTGAGTGCAGCTTCAATCCTATTTTCCTGAATGCAGTCAGTACACCTTATTTTTCTAAGATTTGTCTTAACACACTGGATTATCATTGCCCCCTGAAAACCTGTGCATCACCAAAGTATAGGGCTCACATATCCCCAGATACATTTCTGCAATAATCCACCGCTTCCCTCTGCACACGCACAAATACAAGCAAACAAATGCACACGCATGTACACATGCATGCATGCAGCAAGATGCTGACATTGAGACTTATCTGTTGATATGACGCAAAGTAGCATCTGATGGTTTTATGCAATCCGGCGTATTTTAATGTATTTTGAGGAACTCAAACGTGCTGCATATATAGAGAGAATTCCCATAGGTCTCACTCACTGACTGGCTGCAGATGGGGAGGATTCCCATTTCATGATAATTTTCTCTGCTGCAATGACATCTGAAATAGCCTAAACATGAATATACTTTACATATTCTAATGTTCTGTGAGTGTGGGTAGGAGAAGAAAATGCACCCGTACAAAAATATGAAGCTCTTATTCTACACTGATACATTTTTTTGTGTAGTCTGGAGGGAGAGCCTTGTGTCGCGTAAATCATGAGGAGAAAGGTGCAGACAGGGGAGAATAAGAAAAAGAATTGATGAAAGCAATATGTAGCCAAATGGAAATTCATGAAAGCTGTCACCTTGGTATCTTTGAAGACAGCAGCATGTCTGTAACATAAGCTCTCCTCGTGTAAAGACTACAGCTTTGATTAAATGTTAGCAATCCCCGCACACTGGAAAATATACTGAGGGACATCTTTGATAAACTTGTGAAATAAATTCTTTCCAATAAAAACGTTCCTGAGGATGATGATTTGCGGAGGAGCACAGCGCTGACACGGTGCACATTGCACTCGGTTCTGTTCCCAGCACCCCTCCCTCCAGGGGTCTCGGTGGCGAGGATCTCTAATGAGACTGGCGTTATTAATCCTTGCAATGGGGTACATGAATTCAGTCCAGAGCAAAGGCTTCAGCAGCCACCTCAGCCCATAAAACCTGGAATGTATTCCTTTCATGTGCTCTGTTGATGATCTACTCTGACAACAATATGGTAAGACTTCCCTTCCCCTGTCGCGCGGGCCCTGGCCTGGGGCCAAAGAGGGTCATCTCAGACACACTTGGACTTTTATAGGTGGTCAAGGAACATGCTGACAGGTCACAAGCGGGAGCTCCTTTATGAGTCGCAGCGAAACATCCACCTCATTTGGAATTAGTTTATTTATAGGTGGCCTGTAAATCACCTTTATTTTGTTTTCTAGACTTCAAATGGCAGCTGAGTCTTTGGGGTCATTTTTGCAAAACCAACAGGCTTTTAGACCCAGGTAATTAAAACCAAAAGCATTAAGCTTGTTTTAGCCAGATTTTCCCTCAATGGGCTTGTAATCATCTGTGAAACATCACCATAAAGTGCTGTGATCACTCTGGAAATATTTCATGTGAGGAAAATTTCACTTGACTTTTATTTTAATAAGCTTTTTTTCAGAGACCACAGAGGCCAGGCAGGAGTGTGCATGAGGCACTAAAACAAAATTTCCTCTGAAAAAATACCCCTCTCGCAAGATATATATGTGATTTTCTGATCAGGCGAGGACAAGAAAAGCTGTACAACAGGTTTGCACTAATCAGGTGTTGACAGCAAGGTGGGAAACACTCGGCTTTGGTTCTGATAAGAATGCAGCTTCTTCTGAACTATATGTTACCTCTTATACTATAAAAAAAATTGAATTAGTGAATAAAGCGGCATTTCTGCATGCAGAATGAAAAGCAAATTGTGCACAGAACTTTTAGTGCAACGGGGCTAATTTCAGCCTACTCAAATTTTCTTTTGTTTACATTTTGCTCTTTGTTGTATTGTTCCTTAGCTATTGTATTATATTTTATTTATTGTATTGTATTTTCACTTTCGGCTTGGAAATGGACCTTTGGACTAATTTCGTACCACAGGCTGTCAAAGGTGTGGGGTATGACAAATCAAGTTCCTCAAATCCTTGAATTTTTAAATTTGCACTTTTCCCAAATTCCTATTCCCTCATAGTTTGAGTTTCCAAGACGTTGGCACATGTTTTTCCTCTTGAATATGCAAAAAAGGAGGTAATAATTTCCAGTATCCCTTTTTTGTCGATTTCCAGAAACTGCTGTTGTAGCTTTATTTTACATGTTACCCTTAGGAATTTTGCAATATTTACAAAAAAGCCACAAAAATAAGGTGATTTGGTGAAAATCAGCGTTAGGTTATGCTGCAGGTAAGTGTTGAGAGAGGTCAAAACAAATAATAGGATTGGTTTTGAGGCATTAAAAAAAAAGAAATCTCCATCTCTGTACAGCAGTCTGAGAAGTGTCTCGGATTTGATTGACAGCTTGTTTGCTGTATGCATGTAGCCTCAGTCCCCCAACGGCCCACTAGCCAGCTTTACCATCCCATTTATGACACCAGCCAATCTGCCTCCAGCCGAGCTTCTCCCTCAGCTTTTCACAGATTTGTATCCCCATTTTCCCCAAATTCATCTCACCCCCTGCTCCCCCTCCAGCTTCCTTTAAGACTAACACATGCACAAACTGCCCACACACAGACGCACAAACACACACACAGAAAGATGCAAACACAGGCACAAACTGAGCTCACTGCAGTTGAAGATGATGTAAAGTGAGATACCAGTGGAAGAAGTGAGAGTTAAAGGTCTTCATGCAGCTCTCCTGTAGTGTGGAGTTACTTTTATAGCAGAAATGATTGAAATGTTGCAAAGTTATTCTAATGGGTCGCTAGAGGGCGCTGTTCCATTTTACAGTCAGGCCTGTGTGTGTGTGTGCAGTTAGTGTGCTGTGCTGCCTTTGAATATCTCTGGTTTCAGGAGCTTTCGATCTCTCACTCACTGTGTGTGTGTGTGTGTGTGTGTGTGTGTGTGTGTGTGTGTGTGTGTGTGTGTGTGTGTGTGTGTGTGTGTGTGTGTGGACTTACATGACTCTCCTGTAAAGTTATTACCCATTCAAAATTATTTTAATTCTCACTGAGACATTTAATTTTTAAAATGGGGTTTGATTTTTTGGTTTTTCTTCGACACTATTTAATTTCGACGGTTTATAAATCCATGGTTTCCGGTTTGCATTCAGTGTTTATGCATATTACCTCTCAACTTTGCCTCTTTTTTTAAAACAAATCTTTTCATCTATTCCAAATGACAGTAAAAGCCTTGAAATTAATTTAATTTATTAGATTTTTTTAGATATTCCAAACCTGAGATATTAGTTGAAGCTTTGTATGGATGATTTATATTGCTATGTTCGTCTTAAGGTGAATTATGTCAACAAACCAATTTCGTTTGCACATTTTCTAGATATTTAATTCGCAACTTTTGGACTACTTGTATCTTGTTTTGTTATTTATTATTATTATTATTTAATAAACTGATCACATTTTAAAAATTATATTCAGTAAAAATCGCAGTTTAAAAAAAAAAATTTCCCCGTTTCCGGTCAAAAAGCAGCGAAAACCGTCTGTCACTTAAAATGGTGGAAAAGGAGGGAAGTGTTTTCTGGGAAGAGTACACCTAGCTAACTAAACTCGACAGAGTTAAATGGAAGAATGTAGCTTAATCATTTCGCATATTTTCCCCTTTTATTTTACCCCTTAGTTAACTATTTATTGTCGACAGTTTGTAGTTTTATTGCAGCTAAGGCTAAAAATCTGGAAGTGTAATGGCTGGCGGAGGCCAATTATAGGAAACACGGTGCACATGTGATATCTTCGAAACTCACAGAGAGAGAGAGAAAGGGGAAAATGTGTCGATGTTTGCTGTTCATGAAGGATCTAAGTCTGTTCGGTTGGGCTTAACTCATCTGAAAAGCTCCATCTGAGTGAGTATTTCTCTGCTCTGTTGGATGTTATGACTTCAAACTAGAGGCTGAAGTTTAGAGGTGATTGTGCTCGAGCTCTGGGGAGTGAAGAGCTGCTCGTGCGAGTAATTTTTCTCTATTTCGTGTTTCTGGATTAAAATGCAAGTAGATCCGGATTATTAGGTTTGAAAAATGATTCAGAATTTTATTTGTTTGCTTATATGTAAAATATCGATAAATTTTGTTCTTTTTAGAGTCGATGTAGCTGCTGTCATGAGGCCTTTATTCAGGATAGTTGGATAAATTTAATCTAAACAAGAGTCAGGGTAAGTACCTCTATTATTTTCATACGCTCTCTAATTGAATTAAAGTCGTGCATCTATTGGTTGAAGAGAGGGCTCGTGCCCCCGCATGCCTCTCCAAAGCTCCTCCCCCTCCTCGTCTACCGTCACTTGGCTCTGTAGAGATCTGCATCTTTATAAGAGCCGCTGATCAACCCATGTCCAGCCCATAATCTGGTCTGTAAATCCGCAGGTGAGGAGCAGGTTGAACCTCGATCCATCGTTTTGTCAAGGAGGGGGGCGCGTGCAGACAGACAGAAAACAAGCAGGGCGCGCGGTGTGTCGGCTGTGTGTGTGTGTGTCGCCTCCTCGGCTGAGATTGACTCTCTCTGGACTTTCTTGAGACTCTTTTTATTTATTGAAAAGATCCAAAACAATGCAGTTAGAGAACATCCTTCCCAGCGCGAGCATCAATCTACCCAAGACCTTTTACAACCTCTCGTCGTCGGACAGTGCCAACAACAGCCCGAGGCCCACTTCACAGCTCGAGTACCAAGAAGTGGAGCGGACGGAGTCAGAGTCCAGCGCGCCGAAGAAGTACTTGGGCAACGGGATGCTGGGTGAGGGAGAGGGGGACACTTTCGCTAAAACGGGGCCCGATGGGAGGAAAGGCTCTCCGGTGCTCGGTGAGGACGAGCTGACGAGTGCGCGGCGCTACAACATAGACGAACTTGGCTCTGACAGATACTTCATCTCGTCCTCCCAGGCGAGTTCCGACATGGCGAACCCCTGTTCCCTCTTCCCTTACGCAGGACAGACCGGCTCCGTGTACACTGGCTCCAGCAGCTCCAGGTACCCGGCCTCGCTTCATTACGGATCCGTCCTGCCGCCGACAGGCTTCTCCTCTTCGTCCGTGTGCACCGGACGGAGCCAGTTTAGCAGCGGAGGGTATCAGTTCAGCCAGGGGCCGGGCTGTTTGTACCCGTCCTATCCCGGGACGGGGACGGGGATCGGCTCCATGTCTTTGCCGGGGTCTGCAGCCGGAGCCAGGGCTCAGGTTTATCTCTGCAACCGGCCTCTTTGGCTCAAGTTCCACCGGCACCAGACCGAGATGATCATCACCAAGCAGGGCAGGTGAGCAGATGCGCAGAAAGAGGCTTTAAAGTAGAGGCCCAATTAAACACATGAAAGATATGTGAACAAATGACAATTTATATGTTATATTCACTGTTTTTATTCTTCTTATACGAGCGTCTTATTTTTTACTTAAAGAATTTGCTAAATATTACGCACACTCGCCGCTCTTTTACGCATTATTTTGGACTTCTTAAATGGCAAAAATTCGTTCCTGCCGACCCGTAAATTAATTATAAGACAGCATGTTAACAAAGCATGAGTAGAATTCACATTTTAATTAGATAAAAAAGCTAAAATTTTCCTGAAAGTGCACTGTGAACCTTTTTACTGCCAAAAAAGTTTATTTTTCTTTTAGTTATTTTGCCTGCATGTTTTACGCGCATCGCTGAGAAATATTGATGTTTTTCTCTTGCTTCTCCAGACGGATGTTCCCATTCCTCAGCTTCAACATCACCGGACTCAACCTCACGGCCCATTACAACGTCTTTGTAGAAATAGTTTTGGCTGATCCGAATCACTGGCGCTTTCAGGGCGGCAAGTGGGTCACTTGTGGAAAAGCAGATAATAATATGCAAGGTGGGTGACAAAAATCCCCAAAACCTGACGAGCTCTATGTGTTAAAAAAAAAAAAAGACTGGTAATAGAAAGTGAAGCTGTTGCATTTAGTCAGGACAGCAACTGAAACAAAAATCAATGTCAGAGTTGTGAAAATGATTTCTTTTGAACAGTCAAATATTTTTAAAATGCCACTTCTTGGTGTAATTTTTTGTATTTTTGAAACACTTTTAAGCTCCTTATAGGACTGTAAATTGAAATGCTAAGTCATTAAATGAACCATACAAGGTGTGAACTCGTTTAATGCTCATGAATTTAGAATAACAACCACTTTAAAAAGCGATTTATTTAAACATTTCAAAGTGATTCATTATATAATTTATAACTTGAAGAAAACATAGATTAATTTAAAAGAAACATTTTTAGCTTAGATTAAACAAACTCAACCTTTACCCAAAAAATGTTCCTCTCCTTTTATAAAAAATATTTTTTCTTTTATTGAAAAATGTGCATTTAATTTACCTTGCTCAGAATTTTGAAAACAAATTCATCAGATGCATTTATCAGCAATGCAAGGAAAAAAAAAAGTAATTTATGACATGCATGTTTTGCAAAGATTTAAGCTCGCTACATTAATTAATTAATTTATCCTTCTGCCTTATCTAACTGGATGTATGAGGGAAAAAAGGCTAATTTTTTTTTCTTCTTCTTCTGTCAGGTAACAAAATGTACGTTCATCCTGAATCCCCGAACACTGGAGCTCACTGGATGAGGCAAGAAATCTCGTTTGGCAAGTTGAAGCTGACCAACAATAAAGGGGCAAACAACAACAACACACAGGTTCGAAACTAATTCTTATTTAATTCTGACAGTTTTGGGAAAATTTAAAACTCGAATCCATCTTTTTTTCACCTTTTTTTAAACGCACGTTATCATCTATTTCTTTTTATATTAACAGTAATACATTCCTGCGACCTGTTTGTGAATCAGAGCGTGGCAATTCTCACATGTTTTTCTCCTGCAGATGATCGTCTTGCAGTCGCTGCACAAATACCAACCGCGACTGCACATTGTGGAGGTGACAGAAGACGGCGTGGAGGACATGAGCAAGGAGGCCAGCACCCAGACCTTCACCTTCCCTGAGAACCAGTTTATCGCCGTCACTGCCTACCAGAACACAGATGTGAGCATTTCATTGTGGACTTTTAGTTTAATTCAAGAGTTGGTTCGGTTGCAGAAACTGGAATCAGCACCTATTGAATTATATGTTTTTAAAATGTCTGTTTTTAAATATTTCGTTGGTTTAACACAGTCCATCTTAAAATGCTTGTTATTAATGCAGCATTTCCTCTTTTTCTTTCAGATCACGCAGCTCAAGATAGATCACAACCCGTTTGCAAAGGGCTTCCGGGACAACTATGACTCGTACGTGTCTTACACTGAAAGCCGTGCGGTTGATTTGTTTTTCCTGTGTTGTTCTCTATGATACTTGTATCCGACCCTGAATAAATTTCTCATGTGTGTTTTTTAAATGTATTTCTCGCACAGGATGTACACGGCCCCAGAAAGCGACAGGCTGACTCCATCTCCAACAGACTCCCCTCGATCCACTCAAATCGTCCCCGGGGCCCGCTACGCCATGCAGCCTTTCTTTCAGGACCAGTTTGTCAACAACCTGCCTCAAAACCGCTTCTACACCAGTGAGCGTGCAGTCCCCCAAACCAACAGCCTTCTCTCCCCGCAGAGTGAGGATGCCAGCGCTGCAGCCGCCTCAGCCCAGCGTTGGTTTGTCCCTCCAGTCCAGCAGCCGGGCTCCAACAAGCTGGATCTGTCATACGAGAACGACTACTCCACCAGCAGCCTGCTCTCCTACGGCATCAAACCGCTCTCCCTGCAGACATCCCATGCCCTCAGCTACTACCCAGACTCAGCCTTCATGGCTGCAGGATGGGGCACCAGAAGCACATACCAGCGCAAGATGACCACCGGTCTGCCTTGGTCTCCCCGTCCGAGCCCCCCAGCTTTCCCTGAGGACCAGCTGGGGGTTACAAAAGACAAGCTGCCCGAGGAGAGCGCTCCACCCGCCACAACCTGGATCGAAACATCCCACTCCTTGAAATCGGTGGACTCTACCGATTCTGGCGTGTACTCAGTGGTGTGCAAGAGACGTAGGATGTCTCCCGGGGGCTCAAGCACAGAGAACTCCCCAACCATCAAGTGTGAGGACTTGACCACAGAAGATTACAACAAGGACAACCCAAAAGGCATGGGTTATTATGCATTCTACACAAGCCCCTAAGACTGTATTTATTCAAAAGTCAAATCTAATTCTTTGGTTTTATTATTGAGTGCTCTCCGTTCCTTGTTAATGTCTTTTTTCTCTTTTCTCTAAAGGTGCCAAAGCTTAGTGTTCCCCCCCAAGCAAGCTGCACAAGGTTATTTTCCCAGGCCAGCCCCTCTCACATACCAGAGCAGAAACATGCATAGTGATTGTTGTTTTCATAAAGCATGTCCCCCTTTTTTTATGAATTTATTTTAACAAGTTTTTTTATTTTAACAAATGTGATATTTTTTATTTACCCCCCCTGCGTATTTAAGTCAATTTCGTTGTACAGTATTCGTGCACTTTAGAATGTGATGTATCTTGTACAAACTTGTCTTCATGGAGGTGTTATTAAATGGATAATAAAAACAGCTTTTCACAAGGCAGTCTCCAAATGTCTTCCTCTGTACATTTTATTTATTGACAGTGGGACTAATTGAATAAAAATAGATACAAGATCTAAAATCCTTTATTTTTAAATTAGTGAATATAAGAAACTCAACTGAATATCATGACTTCTTAAAGATGCCACAAGTTTAGGCCTTTTACTGCCCTGTCAACAAGATACCAACGCAACAAGTAGTGCATTTACGCTGCACATTAGCAGTGAATGATAAAGTAAAGCTAAATTCACCTCTTCTTATAAATAAAATCAGGTATTTTGCAAGTGAAAGGGGGATAACTCCAAAATTAATTGCGAAATGACTCCACAGGTTGGGTTTTTCCTGCTGTGTCATTTTCAGTATGCCCCACAATAAAACATTTTGTAAAATTTTCCAGGTTGTTTTTATAAACACTTGCAAACAGGTGTCTTCAACAATAATAAAAGCGTGATAGTAGGAAAAAACTATGAAAACGTGATCATGAATAGTGTGCAGCCTGTTTGTTTCAAGGCCAAAGTCACTGTGGGGATGATTGATTGGTTCTTAATGAAAAATGACTGGTATATTGTGTGGAGTTGAGCTGTATTATTAATACATTTGTGTCCATTTAGATTGATATTCATATGAGTTTGTGATTTATGAAGATGTTAAAATAATGCTTGTATTTATGGAGTAATTGTTTAGTTTTCTTATCATGTAAATTCAAAATTTTGAGAGGTCATTAAGTAATTAGAAAAGACATTTCAGATTTTTATACGTCTTGAAAAAGAAACATCTCAAAACCTGTAGCGTAAATGTACAAAAAGCTGAGCAATCCTCTAAGCTTTTCAGAAGTGTAACAAGGTAACACCCCGGCTCACGATCAAAGCAAGCAACGTGTGATTTAAATAAGAGATTTACATGTCTTCCATGACACAACTCACAACATAGACCCAATTAGGTGAAAAGCACACAAAAGCACAAAGTCCTACTATCCCTTCTGTTGTTGCCATGGCGTTTTCACACATTTTATCATTTATCCAAGAAATGCAACTGCATTCCCGGCCTGTGTACTTTGAAAATAAAAAAAAAAAAGCTAAATGAAAATTGGTCCGTCAACCATCTAACGGAGGGCAATGTACAGCTTAACACCTCTATTAATACTGTACATCTACGGCCTCTCCAAAAGTGGATTAGAGGAGTTAAAATCCATGAAATGAGAAGTCATAATATTCACACACGTATACTTGGCTCCTGTTTTCAGCACCTGCTTTTTTTCCATCAGTGAAAATACTTCAAGCCTCTCCCCCCCTTAAGAACCCCAATTTGAATTGATTTACATACTTGAATTCTAATTAATTCTGTTGTCAGACTCTTTGACAAAGTGAGGAGTCTGACTAACTCCAATTAACACCTCCTAACAAGGTAGAGAGCTTGATTGCCCCGGCCTCTCAGGAAAGCTGTAAGAAAAAGGCTCTTGGGGGGGTTTCGAGTCTGGAGAATAAAAATGTTTGCACTTGCGCGTGTCAGCAAATTATATTTCTGAGCATCTGATGATGTTTTTCCTTCTCCTTTTCATGTTGTCTTGACCTCAGCTCATCAGCGGTTGAGGTGGAGAACGGCTGTCAAGATTATGGGCAAGATAACTATAGCAAGAAAGGGAAGAGAAGACAGATGCTTAGCTGTGTGGGCACTTGATAGACAAAAGAAGAAGAAAAGCAACACTTACACATACTTGATTTGTAACCCATCACTTCCCTGTAAATTAGAGTAGATAGTAGGCCTCCAATATGTGAGTAAAATATATGATTTAGCTTTAACTCGCAGACTCTGTTTGCTTTTACACCTCTAATTTGGCAGAGACTTACCTGAGTGTGGCTGGAATCCAGTTTTAGCTTCATCTGACTGCATCAAAATGTTTAAAGCACGCCTGTTATACACAATGTTGAGCTCAAGCATTGCTGTCTTTTCTCACTCATTGCGATAAATCCAGACCCTTACTAAAAACTGTTGCAACAATCTTATTCCTTTCAGTCAGTGAACCAAAATAAATTTCTCAGGGTCATTTTAGGCAAAAAAAACCAAAAAAACAAAAACATGCAGCAGTTTGCTTGCAGGTGCATTTATTTCAAATACATCATTTTAAAAAAACTGTTTGACTCTAAATACTTAAAATTTCTGTGTAGCACGTCAGCATACAAAACAAACTCAGGCACATATACAACCTAGAAGCATCCAACCACTGTCACCAGCAGCACATCATCATGTTTGAAGTGCCTTATCAAAGGCATGTTGGCATTGCTAACAGGTACTGAAATTGCAATCTCTGCCATCCTCCCACTGCAATAAATCTCCTGTCAATAAAGAAACAGGGACAGGGGCATCTATCTTGTATATAAACTACAAAAAATCTCCTCTGCAGTCTTCTCTGAAGCTCTACAAACATCCTCTCATCTCTTCTTTGATGGATATACCAGAGTAAAATGTGATTTATGGTTGCTCCTGACTGCCCTGAAAACCTAGCAACAAGTCGATAGATTCTTTCTCAACCATTCATGCAAGAGGTGGAGTAATCAATAGACACCTCTGCAACATGCTTCCACAAATTCAGCCCGTGTTGACTTAAAGGAGATATGCGCATTGGGATGAGACCCGGAGAATTGACTGTTGGGTTGTTAACATTGCCAAAAACAATCTCAGTAATTGACTGCGATTGTTGCCATGTTCGTGATCCGAGGCCTGGCAGGACAGAGTTGTGGTTTTTTGAGTGGATTTGGTAAAACTTTTGTAATTTTCTATATATGTTGGAGTTTTTTGCATGTCTGTGCCCTTCCCTCAGGCCAAGCATTGGTCACCTCGTTGTGAGTTCATGTAAGAGAAGGCCAAGCAGGCTGCTGAGACGTTGTAGCCGAGGAGGGCTGACATGTAAACCCAGATGAAGGCCTGAGGCTATTTCCTCACCTTCAGTCACACACTATTACTGCTCTCACTGACTAAATGCAGCCACAGGCACGCGTGTGTGTCTGGGTCGATATTTTTTAAGACGTCCCCTTTTTTAAGAAGTAACCTATAGACTAGCCAGACTGATTATGTTTCCTCTTCACACTATATTCCCCCTTTTGATGTGTTGATAAATGTCACCTCTGCGTCACGATGAAGAAGCCAGTTAGAATTATGGTGGATTTTCCCTCTGGGCTCATTTGAGTCTTGTTTGGTAACTCACGCTTTCAATGGTGATTTAGTTAATCCCCATTATCTTACAAGGCTTCTGATGTAGCCAGAGTTTAATGTCATTAGTCGACATTAGTCAGGTTTATTCTTTATAATTTCATAAGAAGTGCTTGACAGATTTCCTTTTCAGACCAGAACTAAATCCAGATCCAGTGTGGTGTATTATAGCACACCACCTGGGGAACAACTTTATCATAAGCATATGTTCTGTGCTGTATTAAGCAAAGGTCACTGGCCTAAATATTCCTAATCATGCTGACAAAGGCTCTTCTTTTAGCTCTCACCAGGTGTCATTGTATACAACAGGAGGCTGTTTTTAGCCCACTGTTACACCTGGTTAATCAGCAGTAAAAGGAGCGTGGGGCAGACTACAGTAATACTCACAGGTCTGTTGTGGTGAGACCCTGGTGTGAGATGAGTCTCGAGTTAACAGGGCCACAACTGTTTGGAGAAGAGCGTTGAGTGTTGGCAGAGAGCGCTGAGGTGAGGGGAACCAGCGGCCTTGTGTCGGTGCCCTCAGACAGCATGTGTATGGTGCAGAAAAAGACCCTGACTCACTGGTGCATGGATAACATCGGGGAGAGTATCCCGCAGCTAAGCTGCACTTAACAGGACATTGATTTCAGGCCCCTGCTTTCCCTCTGGAGGACAAGGGGACACACCTCTCCACATCGTACCCCCTCTTTTCTCCATTTTTACCCCTACCTCCACAAACTACCCCTCCTTTCCCTGGGTCGATTTGGATACACCATGCTGGTCACTGGCCTCTACCCCCTCCCTTCTCCTCAGATTGTCTCACTGGATTTGAAGAGGATTCAGGGCACTATATCTCCCACAAGACCCTGGACAGTCTTGAGAGCAATGTTTCGTGATCGGGCACCCAGAGTCAGCGGCGTGGAACAGAATCTGTGCTCAAAATCAATGCATTGGCACTTTGATGAGGCGCTCCAACAGATGTGGGAATTTCATTTCTCTCTTCCTTGCCTCCTGGCACCGTCAGGAGGCCTCACCACTGGAGGAAAACAAGAGCCATTAAATCTTCAGGGAGATTTCTGTAGCTGGTATCAACTTGACAGTCAATAATCATTAGGTGGATTCAACCTTTTATGTTACACTCAACGATGTGTCGCCTTTTGCTGCCTAAAGCTGAACGAAAATTCTTTTTGCATTAAGATATTGATTCCAATTCCCTTACTTTAGTGTCAGCTGAAACCAAACTGAGTGGCTTTTGAACCGACTTGTATCCCAGTTGCCTGTGCTAGCATCGTAGGCTGTGTCAAGTTAACCAGACTTGTCCTACATACAACTTTCTCCCCATTTTCAGGATCAAAACACTGCCAAACTGCGCCATGCGACAAGAAGTCATTGGTCATCTGTTCATACCGGGATAGAAGGGTCACCAGTTACTGGAGCTGCAGCCCCGGCTAGTGGCATGTGGCTGTGCTACAGTTAAGACATGACTAATTGTATAGTCGACTACACATGCACATCCCTCATACTGAGTACTTCTTAAAAATCTACAAATTGTTGTGGAAAAAAACACATTTTTGAAAATTTTCTAGCCTTGACCCACTTGTGTTTTTGTCACGAGTCAGCTGATACCAATTGATATGGTATCACAACAGTACATTTAGCATACTTGCCTAAAGCAGATATCAGAGGATGATCCAAAGACTGATATTGGTAGTGATCAGTACTGTTAGGATTGTATCTGTCTAATCTTCGCTACCAAAAGGTTTGCAAATCCTACCACAAAAAGAAGTTCTGCCCAACTTTATTTCCCTTCCTATTTTTTTTCTCTCTTTCAAACTCAGAACTTTCTTCCTCATCATCACCACACCTCTGTGTGTCTTTACGTGAGTCTCAGCACAGGTGGATGCCAGTGTGGTGCTTCTTTCACTTCTTGTCTAACTTCTGACTCATCTCCCAGCTGCATTATGTGGATGCATGTTTCAGGAGCAGTACACAGCACTCTTCTTTGTGCGCTAATGGGCTCTCAGCATCTTTAAGACTCAGGGTACAATTAAGAGGTGATAGTTTGATCTCCCACCTCGCGGTTCTATTTCTGAGCTGACGCGTGATTCTGCCGGAGGTTGATGGGCGGGTGAGGAGCGAGCTCTATTTAAAGGAAGACACCCATCAACCCCTTTGAAAAAACAAACTACTTTAATTTAGTGCACCTGTCTAATTGTTATTTTTACTGCAGTACAGCTGGATTTGTTTGCGGTTTTGTCAGGACTTTGCTATAATGCAGGGTTATAATTTCAGAAACCAACTTAATATTATTGTGTAAATGTGCTGTGGTCTATCTAGAACATTAAATATACAAAAACCAAGATTATCCTTCATGTATCCAAAAGCATGACTTTTCATAATTTAAAACATGACCTAAAAGGAGTGGCTGTGATGCAGGGACCCAGGGTACAGGCCCCTCAAGTGGTGGGGGGTCAGCTCCTGTAGCAGAGTAACAGATCTGAAGCTTCATGATCAAGCATATTTGTAATGTTTTTTTATAAAGTTGAGTTTCCATCTAACAATAAGTGTTTCACTTTCAACATATGTCTGCTATAGATGGTCAGAAATAAAAGATAACATAAAGAATCACCTCTAAAATGAATTATATGTCATACGGCACCAAACTACTTCTTCACAACACCAGAGAAAATAGTTGATACAGCATTGCCATCTGCTGGTGAAACTTAATAATTACAAGTACGCTGTCTTGGTGTTTAGCACAATGAACAAATATGGTTCTTGATAATAAAGAGGCTGTAGGGTGATGACAGGATTTATAGTGTTAAACTAATTTCTCTAAACCAATATAAAACCAACAGCCAAACCAGAGATAATTGTTGATCTGCAATCAATTTCCTTATCAATACAATTCGATTTAAGATCTGACTTTTTTTATTTATGGTGGTGGGAAATTGTTGAAGCCTCCTTCCCGTGACAGACCAACCTTTGGTGAGTTATGAAAAATAGAAGGAATGGTCATGTGATTCATATCCTATAGCTTATTTCTACGGTGGCCAAGAACCGCCACTGCTGCAAATAAAAAGAAAGCAAAAAAAAAAAGGAAACCACAACAGAAGTTACTGATGCAAATAAAAAAAGTGAAGACAACGGCAAGAAGACGACCAAAGAAGTTAGTGGAAAGGTTTTTGCTTAACTTTGCTTCGTCAGTGTGTCATTGGTTAGGCCATGTAGCGCATGAGTCGATATGAAGTTGAACTGCAGGACTCGACTCAGGCACAACACAGCCTAACCAAGTGACACATTGCAAAGATTACGAAGCAAAATTAAACAATAACCTTTCCACTAACTTCTTTGCTCATCTTCTTGCCGCCGTCTTCTATGCCTACATCGTAAAACGCAGTTGCATCATCATTATTGGTCTCCGACAGCTCACTTCCGTTGTGGCTTTTTTAATTTGCATCCTTTTATTTTCACAGTAAGTAACTTTTTTTTTCCATCACCATTTTTTTTTTTTTTTTTTGCATCGTTGAATTCAGTTGTGGCTTTTTTATCTGCACCGTTTCTTTTCTTTTTATTTGCAGCGGGCTTTGGTTTCTCTTATATTTTGCATTAGTAACTTCTGTTGTGACTTTTTTTAAAATCCTTTTTTTATTTGCAGCAGTGGCGGTTCTCATCCACCGTATACTCCCCTTTATGAATAAAAGATAATACGATATAACATTTAATAATGATTAATACTTCACTGTATAGCCAAAAGGGGTAAGGTTCTTCGACTCATTCCTTGTTCTTACTTTTTATTCCCACTTGATATTGGCAAAATAAGATAGCCAAGATAGTCTGCTTGCAGAGCAAACCCAAGGCAAGAGCGAACTAAGCGCCTGCTTAGGGCCCCACGGCCAGTAGGGGGCCCCCAAGTGCAATCAAAAAATTAAAAAATATATTTTTGCATGTGTGAGTGATGCTTTCTGTATGATCAAATATATATTATTGTAAAAATTGAATAAAATAAAGTAAAAACATTTGCTGCTGCTGATGTAGGCCTATGATTCTTACTGCCGATATGTCAAAGCGCCGCTACCATTAAGTGCCTCCTGCTTACATTTTGGCTATGTTCACACTGCAGGTCAATTCCGATTTTTTAACCATATGTGACAAATATCTGATTTTTTCATGTTAGTGTGAACAGTGCAATTGTGATTTTTTCACATCCGACCCAGGCCTCTTTTGTATGTGGATATAAATCGGATATGTATCCGATGTGACTGCAGTGTGGACACTCAGGTTGTGTTCATCACCTACACATCATACATACAGACAAACGTCACCATTGTTCGACAACAAAAACAGGCGCGCAAAGCAATTTGTGCTTTGTGTGAGCCGCTCCAGAGTTCACTTGATAGCAGTCCGAGACCACCTCTTCAGGCAGACCAGAGTTCGTTTATTTGGTCTTCACCAGAGTTCGAGGTCAGCATTCACACCGACCCAAACGAACCGCACCAGGGGGGTAAACACTCCAGGGATCGGTTCAACCGGACTAAACGAGGGTGGTGTGAACGCGCCCTAGATTTATACTGTAGTAGGTGTGTGAATGATCAACAATCAATATTATTGGCAGAAATAGGGGGTCCCAAAATTTAGCTCAGGGCCCCATTGAAGCTTAGGCCGGCTCTGCCTGCTTGTTTGCGTTTATGTGCATATTTTCACATTACAATCTGCAAGTCAAAGTTTTAAATAATTTTACATCATTAGGGGTCTTCAAATTCAAGAGTACCGTTTCAAACCTTCGTCTTTTTAAAGATCTTGTCTGTCAAACTTACATTTTGAATGATGGGAAGCTTCAGTCGGCCCTGCAGGGTAAAGAAAAAAAGAAAACAAGAAAAAAGCCCGCTTGGGGCTTTGAGCCGACAGGAGAAGATACCCCGCCTTAAATGTTACGTTTCACGATTCAATTGGTTGAAGCTGTCGGATAGTCAAAGCCAATTGGCTATAACTCACTGTCAGTCATTGTAGAGGCGTGTCCTTCGAGCGTCGTTAAGCAAAGCACAACTCGTCGCCACACAGTCCGGAGTTTGTGTCACCCGGCCCGGTCTTCTCAGCGTATTAACGGGCTGAATAATAGTGAACGTTTTATATCAAACTGGCGGAAGTTAAAATGGACGAGCCTATGGAACAAATGAAGCCCCTCTTGAGAACAGTGAGTAAACCGCCCATGACAGTTAACCGCTGGCCAACCGTCATGTTTAGGGCTCTTTGTCCGCCGTTGCCCCCTTGTTTGCCAAGCAGCCGTGGAAGGACGAGGGATGCTTGGGAGTCAGCCTCACTGAGAGGCTCCCTCCTCCATACGGCTGCTATTGTTAGCCGGCTTTCTACTTTCTGACACGTGGCACGGATACAAGTTTTTACAGGGCTCATTTTAAACTAACCGAAGGCAGCTGTCCAATATAGACTCTTAAAATTATACTTTTCCTGCGCGTTTTTAGGAGTTTAGTCGCTTGACGTTTGTTTTCAGATAGTACTTGCTAACGTAAATGAGTAAGCCAGGCGCGAGCCGAGTCAAGCCAGTTCAGTGACGTTATTAATGTTATTAAGTGTAATTAAATTAAAAGATGTCCCGTTAGCCTAAAAGTCCTGACATAAGAGTTTAAAGTGAACTAAAACTTGAGGTTAACTGTGTCTAAAAGTGTGCAGTTTTGCTCGAATGGGTCGGAGAAGTGTTCATGGTGGCTGGAAATAAAACACTTTAGAGCTCTGCGCCCAAGTAGCCTACTTTTTTTCCGTCACGTTCAACAGGTCCACTCGTCCCTTTCTCTTCAAAACGTCATGTTGATAAAATCTACGGGTGCATTTAAAGAAATAAAGAGCTGATTTGCATATCAAATGCGCTCAAAATAGACCGGCTTTCTTGTGTGACATTTCCAAGTCAGGAAGTGCTGCTAATTTTACTGTGAAAGCTTGTGCAGCTGGAGGGGGAAATAGACATGGAACTGCAGGAGATATCATTTTGTACCAAAGCAGGATACATCCATTTTTCTTTATGTAATGTGATGGTTTTATTGAATTATGAAAGACCTACATCCTGTTTGTAAGTTTCCAGTCACAGATGAGGTGATGCATTGAACACACAAGCCTCCGATTGAAGCTGGTGTCAGTGCTAAGTTTAGATTGTATATAGACAGGCCAGACATCAGTGCTGGTTTATGGTTTGCCACTTCTCTCTTGGTGGGTGCTGAGTTGTGTGTGCATGCAAGGACATGTGCATGCATTTAAGGGAACATGACCCCTCTGCTGCCCAATGAAAAGCTGGATAGACAACTTCTTCCCTATGCATTCACTCTGACACAGGACCATTTATGAAGAAGACCAGCAGCTTGTTGCCTATTAAGGGAGGAATGATTTATTAACCCATGAAAATGCATCTCAAAGAATAAGCTGTTGTGAACTTTGAGTTGGGCATTATCTTGTATGTGCATGTTAAAAAGAAACATGAATTTAGTCTCAGCAAGACAGTCTTTGTTTCTTTTTGCTTGCTGGTTGACCAGTGCTACAGTCAGGAGTCATATGAGAGCCACTTTGAGAAGTGAAATATTGCTGTCACCAATCTGGAAATAGGTTTTTGAGTCATGACAACATCAGGCATTTTCTAGATATCATTAAGTTGTACTTCTGCTACTTCAATGCCACTGATGAGAATTCCAGGCCATGTTTGTGCCCTTAATAGAGGGCTACTACAGTCTAGTTTGAGCCAACATACAAGATAATTTGATTGAGCGACTTCTTCTACAGCAATATATTGCATATCCAAGTCTGAATCAATATTATAACGATTGCTGCTAATGTCCTACTCTGACCAAAGCTGTGGTTTCAAACACAAACTGTGATGACTGTAGCAGGCACAGATTGGTACAGTTCCACCCAGAAGCCATTTTTATGACCTAGTAACCTAAATAATTTGTTTAAAAAATGAGCCAAACAAATGAGATAATACATTACTGCAGTAAGGCTTCAATCCATGGACTTTTAAAGAGTGTGAAATAAGTACAGACCACTAGGTTTACCTTAAAGGATCCCCCTTTCTCTTTGTATTCGAAATCTGTCATAATATGGTATTATTTTTGTCACTGGCAGCCTGAACAGTGTTTATCTACTGTGCTAACTTTACACTGCAGCATTACCTTTGATTGATTTTATTTCAGGTGTTTGCCCGCTTGCCAGGAGATCAGGGATTTGTGCTTCCTGCTGTTTCATTAGTGAGAGAAGGGTTAAGTCTAGCCGATGTAGGCTCTATGACCTGCACTATTATTGACTCAGCACTTACTCCCTAGGCTAGTTGAGTTTTTTATGAAGCCCGCTCGCCGTAGGACCTTGCAATGTATCAGTAATTACACTAAATGAGAGTCATGCAAGTAAAATAGCGCACTGTACTTTTCAGCTGTGGTATTGTAATGCGATATAAGATAATGAATTCTGAGTGTACGCAGCCATGACCCCAATGGTGTACACAACAGAGTGCCTTCTGTTCCTTCTGTAATACTTAAATGTACTTTTATAAAGAGGGGAGATTAAAATGTTCTCAGGCCGGAGATTTGACCTGCTTTTGACAGCGTATTTACCTGTAATATGTACCTTTTTGGGCTATTTTGACTCACAAGACAATCCTTTATTTTGTAGTTGTAGTCTTAGTTCGAATTCAAAATATCTAAATTAATCTGGATCAGTGGAATGATGCTGGCCTCGAGCTACAGTCTTCATTATATGTGTGTTCGTTACTGTGACTGTGAAGGTAGGCAGAGTAGTATAACATTTCTTAAGCTACCCACATTTTAACAATAGTCTGGACATTTCTAGCAGCAAAATTTGAGCGTATGCCCTCTTTTCAAGTCTTTAGATCAATGCTTTAAGCTCTCTGAGCTCTGCGGACAGACTAAACCACATCTTGATGCTTGTATGTAGACAGAACAGTGCCCTGAAGGTTGTTGTCATTATGTAAAGACAGAGTGCAAACCAGAGGACTCCAAAGATTGTAGTCATCTAAATTGGATTATGCCTTTGCCACTGTGTGTAGAGAGGACTTAACAGGCCATCCAATTAAAGGAAAACTTATAAAACGCTTCAATCTCATTATGCTGCTTGGTCTGGTCTGAGTCCCAAATGGTTATGTATGATGTGAGGTTGGTTTTATGTTGGGTGCCGCTGGTATAAACTTAGATGGATAATGGCTATGAGACTTTGTTCCCTAAGCCTCTTGGCTTTTGTTTGAGCACTGAACAGCGTATGTGCAACCCTGTGCCAGGCCTGCCTCACCGTATAAGGGGAGGCAATTACATTAGAATTTAAAAAGGAGGGAAAAAAAGAAAAGAAAAGTGAAATAGGGGTGCAATTAAAAAGTGCTATACACAGAATTGATCAAGCTATAACGTCAGCCTTTCATTCTCTTGACACTCTCTCCTCCACTAGGAGAAAGTGCAGGTGCCCCTGTTTGCATGACTGTCACTAGGTATTAACACATTGTTGCTCAAACATAAAGTTTGGTTCTATCATCTTAGGCTTTGAAAAACTTAAAAATAGGTCCCGACCGATTTATCGGTGAGCCGATTAAATTGGCCAATTTTAGCCCGTTTGAGACTAATCAGTAATCGGCCGAAACTCGCCGATTGTTGCCGATATTTTCAGAAACAAAATGCAGAGAATAAGATTCGGTTTCACTTAAAAAATGTTCCACCAGTAGAAAAGTTCCCCGACTTATCCTGTAGATGGCACAGCGACCTCATGACAGTCTTCATCCACTAAATACCTCACAGCACAGCAGAGTGACAAATCTGAAGAAGGCAGCTCAGGGACGCACGGAGGAGAGTGGTCCGCCTCAACGGTGAATAAACCAGTTTGTGAAATACACAATAAGTCAACAAGCTTCGGTTCAACCCACTTCACGATGTTCCCCGCTGGTCTCAGTCACGCCAAGTTAACAGTGAAGCACCGTGTAATATGCAAGCTAAAGTTAGAGTTAGCCACCTGCTATTAGCCTTGCTACACTGTTAGCCGTGCCAGGAATGGTAGAATAAACAACAGTAAACATTGCGTGATCGAGCTACTTCTCTTACTGAGGCAGCTGCATGTCTCCAGATGAGACCGGAAATGAGTAACGTGAGTTAAGACGCAGAGGCACCGATCAGCAGGGGGGTAGTTTAACACGCTATTCTCGTCCGATTTTTATTCATGATAAATACGGGGACCATTACTGAGATTAATGTTACTGAGAAGTGTTTGAAAAGCTCAAAAGCAGCCAGTTATTAAAAGTAAATATGTAGCTATATAACTAATATTAAAAAAATTATAAAACTTTAAAAAATGTAAAAAATGTTCTGATTAATCGGTAATTGGACACCCCCCCCCCCCCCCCCCCAATAATCGGTATCGGCATCAGCCCCAAAAAAATCCATATCGTTCGGGCCCTACTTAAAAATAGTCAGTAAAAAAATAAATACAGAGCAGTCCTATGATATTTGCTTATAAAATGTGCACATGGTCATATTGTACAATTATAGGAAAAATATTAACTGATGAATCTGTAAAACTTAAAAAAGAGAATGTAGTCGCTGCTTAACCTTAAAATGATGGACCTGCTACATAAAGCGAGCACATGCAGACTATATTTCTGTACAGTCTGGACTCTGCACAAGCTGTCAGTGGCGGTTGTTTCATCAAAATTTCCTGATGCCTCGACTCAGCCTTTAGATGTCACTCTTTCTATTTTAAAATCATACGCTCCCGTTTCACAGTGTCTTGGTTATAAATTTGCCCTTCCCTTCATCCTAATGGTTTTGTGGTTCGTCCACTTGGAGCTGACTTGGGCTGTTTTGAACGCCATGTCAACAGAGTATATCTGGACCGAACCAAGATACCCAAATGTTCGCTTGTAATAATTCTATTTACTGCTTCGGTTTTAGGAACATGTCCCCTCTGCCCTGCTCATGTAACAGCTCTTATTATGGACAGGAAACAAATGACTCACAGTTCTCTGTAAAATCACAGGTTGGTGAGAGACATGTCTGACCTTCATGCAATGATCAGGATTGTGAATGTCAAAGTCAAAGCACACGGTGTGGGATTCTCATGTTAAACACACAGCTATCTGTGCTTTTCAATTCATTGTACCCTCTGAGGAATGCCAAGCCTACACGTGTGCTTGTTTCTATTTATCTGTGTTGGGGGTGGGTCTTCATTTGTGACCTGAATACCTCAGCGGGTGAGCTTTTGAATGTCCTCCAAACGCTTGTGTATGTCCTCCATGGAGTAGTGTTTGTGTGTGTGTGTGTGCGTGTGTGTGTGTTTTTAGGCACTTGGCTGGTCGAATGAAATATTCATGGTGGCATGGTGGGATTGGCTGCTGAGCAAAGAGCGGGCTGACAGGGTAAAGCAGAGCAGTGTGCGTTTTGAAGCTCCCTCTCTCTCTCCCTCTCTCTCTCTTCTTTTCTCAGTATAAAGAGATGAGCGGAGGATGAGGGAACATACAAGTGCGACAGTGTCTCTGTTAGCGCTTTAGCTCACACACACCTTCTACGGCAGAGATAACCGACAAAAAAACAAAAAGGAACTGGCGAACGTCCCTGCTCATTTGCTTTGATGTTTTAGTCTAAATGGAGGAACTGAGCGAAGGGGAGCATGTGCTTACGGTACGTCTGGTCCTGTGTGCGTGTGTGTGTGTGTGTGGTTTTCTGTGTATTGGACTGTCGTGTCTGCACCTCATCAGGATCAAGTGGCTCTGTTTGTGTAGTGGTATTGGTGTGGTGTTGAATTTGTACTGGTTTGTACCCTTTTGTTCTCTTCTAACACAGCAGAGTGGTGATCTTTGCTAATGAATGAGGCAGGTGGTCAGTATATTTGATCAGAGAGGCAGAAGCAGAGGTGTTAGAAATGTAGGGTTGGAGGTAATGTGAGAGACTGGGGTTAGTAGCTGTTGCCTCATCGGACATGCCTCATGAAATGGAAACGTTTCCTTTCCACTCTTTGATCGCTTCAGGGAACAGGAGGGGAGAGGGAAGACGCAGACACAGTTATGGCTGCTTGTAAGAGCGGGACAAGGAGAACAGGAAGGAAGGAAGAGAGGAGAGAGAGGCAAGGAGTGCCAGGGAGAGGGGGACCAAATATTGGTCTGTCAGGGTAGCTGAATCCAAACAAGGAGCTCAGTGTCACTACAGATTATGTGTAGGCTTTGTGATGGGCGAAACGAAATTAAATACATATTTTCAGTCAGTGGGGCTTGTTGCAGAAAGTGCAGGTCTGTTGTATGGGGGGGTTGTAGCAATGAGCTCAGTGGTGCTCTTATAGAGACCAGTATGTGGGTGACAATTTCCAGTTTTATGTCTGCAAAGTTTTGGCAGCGATTCTTACATCCCTGGCAGTCGAAATTCATTTCAAACTGTGCGTACTGTAAAATCAAAAAACACAAGTCGAGCCTTGTTCAGATGCACTGTTGCTCCAGACAAACTAGATGTATGAATAGCTAGCAAGCAAAACATGTTATCTAATCAAATTATATGATTGTTTGTTTTGAGGTTTGTCTTTCAGTTCCTGGTAAGCATCACTGGATGCTTTTGCCTTACTGGAAACTGTTATGCCCATAATATACCCATAGATTTTGTCTGTGTCTGCTATAATTGTTAGCCCTAACAGATCAATGTGTGACTGCTCATTTTATATCTGCTGCACTGTTAGTTTTATGTGTCTATCGATGTGACTGCTGGTCTGTGTTTGCTATAACTGTAGTTTCCAAGTCTGTTTTACAGTTTTGTATCATATACCTCATTTCCAGAAGGCTAACCTGAGTGAAGGCCTGCAAATTAGCCATACCAAGACGTCCTTACATTGGTTGTTATTTAATTACATGCAACAATGCCTGTCAAACTAATAAGTAAATAATAATCTATACTCTTTTAATAAATGATTCTAGCTTGGTTTGCATCCATCTTTAATCTCTTGGGTGTCAGTCTCTTTTTACTGTTATCAGACATAATTTAATTGGTAACATCATTTAAGAATAATTGGCAGTTAAAAATATGTCATCATGCTAATCCTTAGTATTTAATTGTGCATTGGCAGTGGGAAATATTCACTGATCTCAAGGGACAGGTCTCTCACTATGTAACACATTTCTTACGTCAGTCTTTATTGATTGGACCAGGTCCCAGTGAAGCAAGCCTGGCAGGGGACTAAGATTAGAGGGAACCAGGCCTGTTGGCTTGTTGGACTGTTGGTTGTTTTATGCATTGTCTTGTTGGCTGAAGAGGTGTTTGGCTGCTGTTTGGTTTATTCATCCCACACAAACCCAGCAGAAGCGAGGTAAACGTGATTGTTATTGTGATGAAGGGCTCTGTTGTCTTATTGACTCACAACTTTGAGCTTTAGTCATGTTAACGGTTTTATCAAGTAGTGGGATTGGAACAAAAACCAGAAGCAATAAGTGATTTTTTTTGTAATCTGTCAGTACAAAACAGAATTTGATATTACTGGTCCACAATAATTTAGTGTGTCCCCCATATATTACAGATATTTAGCTTTTTTTGTTCAGCAAATAAAATTAATTAGCCCATCATGTTTAGATAGCACTTGTGTTTTCAACTCTAATACTTTTTGGAAGTGCATCTTTGTTTGTCGTCACTAAAATGCACAATTTCTAACCATTAAATACATCGAAGACAGTCTGAGCCACCAGCCACCTCCCTAATTTTTGTGATACCTGGATACTTTTAAGTTCTACAAGCATACAGTTTCTGTTTTTTTATTTTTACTTTAGGTAATAGCAAAAAGGTATGAAGTTTTAAAAAAAAAAGACAGATCTACAGTTTTTAATCTGAAGCTGTTGCTAGGGAAAAAAAGAGGTAGCAGTGGTAGTCAAACAACGTAGAAACAAAGTAAAGAGAGAGCACCAGCAGAGAACACAAGGCGGTCAAATAAATAAAGAATTACAGTGTTATTTTTTGATTGTTTTAAAGTGGTTTGGCTCTAAAAACAACTTTTTAAAATAACCACACCTCTGCACAAGCATGGACAAAAAGTACAGGGCCATGTTTGTTTGGTGCCAAAGTGTTTTTGTGTGTGTCTCTGCTCTGCTTTCCATGTTAGCCACCATGCTCACAACTTTTCTCATTCACAGATTAGCAGATAGAAACCAACATTTAGTTAGGTTGCTTTTTGTACACACTTTAAGCAGAGGTTTTGTGGTTTGTTGTCATGTTCAAAGTTGGTTTGCAGAGCTCTCGCTGTCTTGTGGTTGCTCAGTGTCTAGAAAGCAGCCACTGTATAAAAAGTTATAGTGTGCTCATCTCTGCTCCTGTATGAGCTAAATGTTTGAAACAAGACCTGCTTGCTGTATGCGCTTATTTCCGTTTTTTTTTTAACCACAATTTAAGGTGACAATAATCCTGATTCCTGACAATAAAACCATTTAACTAATCATTCTAGCCCAAAAATGATTGCATACGATGTTTTGTCCACACTGTTAAAGCCTCGGTAAACACTGACAGTTTCCATACAAGGCTATCTTCAACTTGAACATGCCTGTTTTACATGGATCATAGCACAAGCTGTATGTTATACTTGGGAAATCCTTGTGTACACATGGTAAGCCTCATGTTTACTCTTAGAGATTCATGTGAACCGTAAATCCCTGTTCTTGGATACAACCCCGCACTTTGTGATTTACTTTTGAAGCTGCTATAAAGGCCAGTGGAAATCCTTGTATGCAGACAAACTGACAGTAATTGCTTTCCAGCTCATTATTCCTCAGGGTTGCAGGTTTAGATAGTGTATTAGTTTGCAAGACAAGACCGCGTTTATGATGAGCACTCTTAAAAGCCTTTTTATCGCCGTGCAAATTAGCTGTCTGAACCTAATACATCGCTCAACAACACAATTGGAAGCATCAGACATTTACTGTTTTCATCTCCAGGTCTTCAAAGTTTTCATGTTTCACTCTTGCAGCTTTTACGTGACTCACACCTTGCAGCAACTTTCTCTAGGTCTTCAGGTGGTGGACATCCCATGCTCACTCACTTTTTTGAGGATGTAACTGCACTAATGGTAGCTGGGGTCATTTTGGTCCAGTGTGGGTGGTGTTTATTGTTAGACTTGTTTGCTGACTGGAGCTAAAAAGTTGGGGACATTTTAATAAATCTGACAAAAAGAGAGTTGGAGAACCACAGTGGTAGGAAAGTGGATTGGGGTTGGAGGCACAGAACATCAAAATGTGAAATGAAGACTAGAGTGACACTTTGATGGGGTGCTTGTGCTGCCCACTGCCTTTGATTGTCATGTGGAGCCCACTCTCTGCTTTTGTCCCCTCTGAAGTGTACTGGGAAAAGCCAGGCAGGGCTTATCCTGTAACACACTCCATGCATGCTTTCAGTTCTTCTCACCAAAGGTGACGTTATGTTCCCATGTGACATCCATGGGCTTCTGATGACAATTCCCCATCGTGGTAGACATCTGTTCTCAGTGGTACAGGAAGCTGGATGCTTTGAATCCCATGAATAATTTTTCTGTCATGTGGCAGCACACACATCTCAGTGGGCACTGGCTGAGTGTGGACTTACAAGTGTAGAGAGTTGACTGGTTTAAGATGATGTCACAGTCATGTTCGAAATTATTGTGTTTATCCTGCAGTGTAGACAAAGATCTCTTCAGAGGCCTTTTTATTTGTAGTTTTAAACAGGTTTGGTGTAGTGTTACTCATTTAAAAAATCATCCTGGATCCACACAAGAAAAAAAAGAACAGTACTGGACCCATATAGGCCAGTTCAGCCCTCTGTACTGTGTAGATGCTGCCAGGGACACATCTGCCTTGTATCAACAGCCCTCTATTGATGTCACTATCTGTTAGCTTTTCTTACCCGGCTGACATTTTTACTCCTTCCAGGCCCTCCCCAGTGGCACTGCTCCTGCAAAGCTGTGCTTTGTGGGCGTAATGGCCAATCACCTCCCAGGCCTGCAGGCTGCTGGTGTGAATGAGCACTGGTTTATTTTGGACAAAGCTATGTGACAGATTGCATCATGGGTTCTTAATTTGACCCACGCAATTTGGGGTTGAGGGCACTGCTGATTGCAACACGTGCAGATGCCCTCACCATATAGGCATGGCAACAGCATGCATTGAATACATGTCAATTAATGTTTGTACACAAACAAGTGTTTATAATGTCAAATATCAGATTTTCTGGACTTGGTATTTTAAGAAGATTACAATTAAGTCCACACTCATGGAGCAGACATAGTTTAAAGCTAGCATTGTGTGCTGTGCTTGTAAACATAAGTTCATGTGATTTCCTGCAGGACTGGAAATGAGAACAACAGCCAAACTCACTTGTAAACTTTCTTTATCAGTGATCACATTTTTCTATAAGAAGTCCGGTTTTATATCAGACAGTGCTTTAATCCATCTCAAAATATCTTTTTGATGGTGTTGAATAGGGCCCCACCAATATGGATTTTTTGGGGCCGATACTTATTATTAGGGGGGAAACAAATCCGATTTCCGATTAATCGGCCGATTTTTAAAAAATTTTATTAGGTTATAAAAATATATATATATACTGTAGATCTACAGTCTACTTTATACTGTAGATATACTGTAGGCTACCGCTCTTCACGCTGACAAGAAGACCGACTGATCAAACTCGGACCAGAGAAGCGTTTTCAACTAGCTTGCCTCACCGACAACTCGGCGTGACCGAGACCAGCACAGCGGGGAACATCCTGAAGTGGGTTGAACTGAAACTTGACTTATTGTGTATTTCACAAACTGGTTTATTTACTGTTGAGGTGGACCACTCTCCTCTGTGCGTCCCTGTTTCAGATCCATCACTCTGCTGTGCTGTGTGGTAGTTAGTGGATGAAGATTGTCATTAGGTCACTGCGCCATCTACAGGATGAGTTGGGAACTTTTCAAATGGCGGAACATTTTCAAAGTGAAACTGAATCTTATTCTCCGCATTTTTTTTCTGAAAATATCTGCGAAAATCAGCAAGTTTTGACCAATTACAGATTAGTCTCAAACAAGCTAAAATTGGCCGATTTAATCGGCTCGCCACTAAATCCGTCAGGCCCTAGTGTTGAACGTTTGAATCCTTTAGATTTACTCTAATACAGATGGTTGGAGCTGTAAATAATTACACTACACTGCAATCAAATTTTAAAAAAGCATAGATGTAAATTTTCTGTCCTGAGTGGATCGAAGCTGAACATGTTTCAAATCTGGAACCCAAAATAGTATCCAGTGCTTCTACGTCCCTCACAGCCACAAGAAAAAGTCCAGCTTTTGTCATCCGTGGAGTGCTGTAACTCCAGTTACTAACCATAAATTAATTTCTGTCTGCTCTTCTCCCCGCACTGCAGCGGAATTATTACCGCTCCTCATCAAGGAGCTGTCAGAGAGCAACATGGCTCATTATCATGCAAATCCACAGGCTACTGAGACTCATACAAACACACGCACATGCACACAGGCTAACGAGTGCACACACGCAGACACAATCGCATCTGTCATCTTTGGTTTTAGGTGGGGCTCTTTACAGGAGACTGATCATGGTAATATCAGTGTGGGAATCTGAATGTCATTGGAGACATATTCATAGTTGTAAAGCAGTAATGACAAAGGCCGAGCAGGGAATGGATGGAGAGTGCGTGCTTTCCATCCGAATGAAACTTCAGTGAAGTCGAACAGGAAAAGCGACTGGTACAAAGAAAGCCCCTGATATTGTCAATGAATCATGTATCCTTGTGAAAATGTGGCTCACAACATCATCCTTTGTTTCCACTCTCTTTTTACTTACCAGCAGTGGCTTTCAGCGATTGGTTCAGGCACATGAAAGGATCTTCCAATTGGGGATTGTGTTGCATCAAAGTGTTTGGCAGCAGCACAGCAGATTTGTAGTTGTTGACAGGAAGGATTTTGATCTGAGTGTATGGTCTGTATGAGAAACTGTATATACTGGGTATTTATAAAGTGTGTGCCATTGAGTGTTTAGAACTCAGTCCAGACTTTTAGTGATACATTTACGTTCAGGGGATCCACAGTCTTCAGTTTAACCTTACCTGCTCTGCAATCACATGTCAAAGGAACTACAAGATGCAGTCAGAGGAATAAGGCCTGTTTTCATCAGTAATATAGAGGCAGCACTAGCTCAGTGTGTACATATTGAGTGTTGATTGAGAGGGCTGGTGGTTGTATTGATTAAGGTGGTTTGATTGTTTTTTCAATATTTTTATTATTATCATGATTTTGGCCTGAAGCAATATGGTGTCAAATGCTGTATTCAGGACCAGCAGGGTCCTCTCCCGGCACATCTAGTTCTGTTTTTGGCCACCACGCTGCTGTAATTGGAGACCCTGGCTGCCTTACATGTTAAAGCACTCAAGGGCAGGAGTCAGGGGACCACTAATAGCATGGTTGGTAATTGGACAAAACCAGATTTTGTTAAAGGAGGTTCAAGATTTTAGTTTGTGTGTGTGTAGAATGTGTGTGTTTGTGTTTATGTGTGTTGACTTCCACTTTAGAGAGTCAAACTGAGCAGAGTTTTTCAATTCTTCTAGTGCTTGTTTAGTGTAAAGGTGAGAGTTTTGGCTGAACAGGGGTCAAATGTTTGAGCTATGTAAGGGAGAGTCCCTTTTGAATGTAGATTGTTACAGTTGTAACAGGACTTGTTTCTACCACCATTATCAAAAAAAATTACAAAGAAACATCACCTAGATTTGTTCATTTGGCACTTTTAATGGTCGTTAGAAAATCAATTTACTTCAAATGATGGTTTTAGTTGGAAAAACACTTCTGTTCATTATTTGTTAAATCAAATGTTCCCCACCAGTTAGCATAGTTATTTTAGCAATGCTACAACTCGTATTCTTCACTTTCTGTTTAATGACAGTTTATTATTTTCTCAGTCAGTCATTTACTGAGTATGAAAATAATGCCACTCTCTTTTATTGATGATGGTTCAAGTTAAAGCTCGGGACAGAGGACTGACTGTGATACAGGGTTCTTAGATCACTGTTTCAAGGCTTTAATTTGATCAAATATTCATAATATGCACTTTTGCTGTTATGTGCCCTGACAGCTTTGTTTCTTTGTGTCTTTGTTTTTCCATCGCAATAATATCAGGTTAATTATTTTCTCTCAGCTTACCCCCTTTTTTTAATGAATACAACTCGCTTGCAGGTGTTGTTATCAAACTTTTATGGAAGGACCATAAAAGTGAATTTAATTTTCAATGTGATCTCATTAGTTGATGATAAGCTCTCATAACACTTCAGTTACACATTGTTGTGAAAGGTTGTGAAATGAAACTATTAGCTCTCACTTAGACAAATGCTGTTAGCATGTACTCTGCCAAGTCAAACCTGTCAGTGTATGTTACTTTTCTTCTTCATTATACTTCCATTTACCACTTACTTTCTTCAATCGATTATGTTTTTAAGATTTTTAATGAGCTGTTTATTTAAGTTGTGAGATAATGTTACAAACCAAAGGTCCTTTTTTATTTTACTCCCACGCTTAAACCCAGAGCGATTGATGGATTTTGAATGCAAGTGATTGACCTGTGATTGAACCTTTAGTTTAATTTGCACAGGGAAGTAAGTAACTTTAGTAGGGCCCGACCGATATGGATTTTTTGGGGCCGAGGCCGATACCAGTGCACATTTCCGGTGCGGTCTCATCTGGAGACTGCCTCAGTAAGAGAAGTAGCTTGATCACATAATGTGTACTGTTGTTTATTCTACCGTTACTGGTACGGCTAACAGTGTAGTAAGGCTAATAGCAGATGGCTAACTCTAACTTTAGCTCGCATATTACATGGTGCTTCACCGTTAACTCGGCGTGACTGAGACCAGCACAGCGGGAAATATCGTAAAGTAGGTTGAACTGAAATTTGTTGACTTATTGTCTATTTCACAAACTGGTTAATTTACCGTTGAGGTGGACCACTCTCCTCTGTGTGTCCCTGAGCTGCCTGCTTCAGATCTGTCACTTTGCTGTGCTGTGAGGTAGTTAGTGGATGAAGATTGTCATGAGGTCGCTGCGCCATCTACAGGATAAGTTGGAGAACTTTTCAAATGGTGGAACATTTTTGAAGTGAAACCGAATCTTATTCTCCGCATTTTATTTCTGAAAATATCGGCAACAATCTGCGAGTTTTGGCCGATTACCGATTAGTCTCAAACGGGCTAAAATTGGCCGATTTAATTGGCTTGCCGATAAATCAGTCGGGCCCTAAACTTTAGTGGTAAAATATATGACCACTGGCTTTATTCTCTGTTGTCAAAGACCCCACAGAGGAGAAAGTGGAGAGTGATGTTTTCCTGATGCTATTTAACAGCTAAGCCATTGTTGTAAGCCCACATACAAGACCCTCAAATAACTGCATCTAAATACATTTGTAATCATGAACTCACATGTTTTAATAGACAGGGTGGATCTGACATTGTCACACTACTGATACACTAATTTTACGTGTCATATGTGACACAATAAATCGATAATTACCATCCTACCAGCCGGCTAGCCCACTGGCTTATGTGCTAACTTGTTTTGTTTTGTACTCCTTGGAGGGAGGTCTGGGTTCTTCACAAGGTTTGAAGTTGTCCCCCCTTTGCTCTGTGCTGTTGCTGTATGGATTTTGACAAGTCACTTAGTTCCCTTTTAGAGTTGGCTCTGTCAGCAAAGTTATCACACAGAGGACTCCGCCAGTGGGGGTGATAAAACCAGCACAAGGTGTAAAGTTATTCTTTCGGAAAATGACTCACTATTGTCTAGGCGATCGGCATGTTGGGGCGGAGGCATTGCTTTTCTCTTGATGGAAGTTGTGACTCATGCTGTACAGGTGAGAATGACTGATAGGTGCTCATCTCCCTGGGCACTGACACTCTGATATGCCCTCTTTGCTGATACTGCCACCTTGTGGAGATGCAGGTCATAATATCTCACCTTCTCAGTCTGGAAAAATGCTGCTGGTCTCAGTCACTTAACATCAGAGCCACACTGTTCCCTTCGACCTACATTAAGATCCAAATGTCAGTAAATTCTATTACCGTTCTGTTTAGAGTAAAAGTAGCCAAATTTAGATTCTGTGTATGGCTCAATTGATTGACAGGCAGCACACTGTACCTACTAGCAAGGAAGCTAAATGCCAGCTTCTACTCTACTTCTTTGAGGTCATCTGAAAGTTGATTGGATCAGCATTTCTGATTTAGTAACCACTGTGTAGATGCTTCAAAACTCTGCTTCAGAAACCAAAGAGGGCCATTACTGAGATGACAGACAAGTTTGACACATTGTCTGATTTGTACTGATCACAACCTAACAAAGCTGTGATTAGTGCAAGGTATTCTGCTTTGTGGTTTCTTTTACTGGAGCTTGAAAGATTTGGTGTCCTTTCTCCGCACTGTTAATATCGTACATCCCTCTGAGACGTACAGTCCCACATCATCTGTCTCTGTCTCTTGCCATACCTGTTGAGAGGGATGATGCAGTAAACACAGCAACATCAAGCAACAAGATTATTTTCATGCACAGTAAGCTTGTAGAGAAGTCGAGTAATATTATTCCCCAGTCTAGGAAACAATAACTGGAGATGTATGAGAAATGGAAATCAGGCAGACTGTGGTCGTGTTTATAAATGGGAATAAAACCAAAATATATATCATCTAAGGAAAACATGATCCTCATGAATATTTGTGTTTGTCTTTCCCTCCTGTTTTCTATCCTCTCCTCTCTTTACTCTCATTAAAGGGTCTAGATGAGGAGGCATTAGTCGACCATGGGAAATCCAGCTTTACCACCCACACAAACTACGAGGGAGACGATTTGGAAAGTAAGTGTTAAACCTTTTATTTTTGTAAATATTTCCTCAATGAGCAAATGGAGTGGAAACACTTGTATCTTTTGTATCTCTGTTTAATAATTGTTTTATTTTTAAGCAAAGTCAAAGACACAAAGCTAGATAAACTTCAAGCACCTTAACCTCAAGAAAATCTAAGTAACTGATATGTCTTGAAATAAGCTGCACCACAAATATATGCATCCCCAACATATATCCCTGTGGTGTTAGCTACGTGTCCTTCTGTCCTCCCCCCCCCCCTCCCCCCTCCGACTCAATGCTCATCCCTAATGTGGACCCATCTCTCTTCATATCCCTCATCCTCCAACAATATCTCACACCCCATGATCTCTCTACTTTCTGTCCATCTAAGCTGTCATTTATTCATCCTGTCCATCCTCTCTCATCTCATCTATTTCCTTTCTCTTCCTCTCACTCAGTCTCAGTTTGTCTCCATCTGTTCGACTCATGCGAATGTCGCTTCTGCCTTCCTCTGAGTGCTGCGTCTCAGTTTCACTCCTGGGTTCCCTCTCAAATCAAAGAGCGATGACTCATCTGTGGAAAATGACTATTGGTAGAGAATGTAGGGCGAAAGTGGGGCGTTTACATCTCAGAAGAACGGTTCCTGTGTGGCAGTCACAATAATGAGGGGAAGTAGATTAAACATTGAGGAGGAATAGAGGGGTGAAAAGTTAAATGTTTTACTCTGGTTTTCTTCAAGTAGGTTATCTAGAGCACCCATACAAAATGGAGAGAGGCTCTTCAGTCTCAGATGTTATCCGAGTTCAATTTGTAGATGAGTGGGACTGTGATACCTTCATCACTACATAGAGAAATAACATTCCTTCCTCCTAGTTTTCTTCCTCTCTTCAATTTGAATGTTTTTGTGTGAAAGAGGGTGTTCAGGAAAAGTGTCTAATGTGGAACTGCACTCTTTGTTTTCTCCAGGCCACAGAGCCGTCTATGTAGGAGTCCATGTTCCTCTTGGACGGGAGAGCAAACGAAGGCATCGTCACCGGGGACACAAACACCACCGAAAGAAGAGAGAAAAAGACAGCGAGGAGGGGAAGGATGATGGAAGAGAATCTCCTTCTTATGGTTGTAAAACATTTCTCAAATGCCTCTATTTACTGCTAATCCAACCATTTTATTCTCTTTCCTCTCTTACTCCCCTTCCATACTGATATTCCATCTCACAGTTTATGTCTACCTTTAATAGCCTTCCACTGCTTTTATTCATCCGCAGCACTCACCATGGACAATAAACAGACACCCTTTGCAATCCACTTAAGACAGATCTGGCTCAAACTTGCCCTACTGTTCAGTTTCTTTTATTGGTGGAGGTTTAACAGTATTTTAGACAGGTTTTTTTTCATCATAAAATCTAATAGGTATTGATCATCACTTTTTAACATGTTGGCAAAACAGTGACTGGGAAGTGAAGTGAGACAAGTCTCCTTTAGACTTGTAATCACACCTCATATAATGAGGCACAAACTGCCAGGTCTAGGCATACTGCTCAAGCCCTTTGAATGTTTCAGATCTGAACAGTTCTGAATAAAACATTCAGCTCTTGAAGGCATTAAAGGCCACCGACTACCTGCCTCTGACACTGATTGAAGGCTATGACATTTCACTCAATGGTTGTGTGTATGTGTGTGCATTTGTGTGCGACTTTGCTGAATCATCCTGGGCCACAAGACCCACAAACAGTGCTGGAAGAGCTATGAGGGTTTAGATAACACAATCAAGGTTGAAGCATCTTAGTTTATAAGTCACATATTCTTAAGCAGCACTTTGCTTATCTACACAGTTGGACTTAAATGCCATAACAGGGCATTTAATAACATATCCTAGTGAGAAACACCTACACTTTCCTTTCAAGCTGCAGCGCTGGGTGTGAAAAAAGAGTGCTGTGAACTGTACTCAAATGTTACTCTTTTGCATGTGAGTTGATGTTCAGTAGAAGGATGGTACATTAAGATAGATATGCATGTAAATCATCCTGCTTAGGTTTTTAAAATGATGAAGGTGTGCAGGCTTCTACCTGTCGGACATATGAGCTCTTAAAGAAGAAAAGTATGTCTATTAGGGTTACATGCTAATATAAGTCAAATTATCGATAGTACAGCTGATTTTCTAGTTTCCAACCCCTAATTTAACTTAAAGGGATATTCCGGCGCTGAATTAATTTAGGGTCAAACACACCGTAACACCAAGTTAGACACCCCCTCGAGAGATGAATGTTGCCGACCACTTGCTTCTCTAGTTATACCAACTTTCGTAACAAATGAACGATAGCAATATACAGCAGTCTGAGGAGCCATAAGCAAACCTCAACTAAAACGTCACTCTATAGCTACAAATAATGCTCAGAACACCACCTGGCTTCATCAACAGTACATATACAGTCCCAGCCACAGCATAAGCCACCAAACATCTTTTTAACTTTGCCTGATTTCTTTAGCAAAGAGACTAGACACAACTCACCTACACTCTTCCAGCAGTCGCTTGTTTGTAGCGAGACCTCGGGCCAGTCCATTATGGACTGCTGCGGGGTTACGCAGCTCAAGGAAGAACATTTATGGAAATGCAATCAGACCAAGACGCTTAGGCAGAAGAACTACCGCATCTGCAGTGCAAAATTATTAATGTTACTTCAAGGAAATGATAAAGTAATGATCATAAATGCACTGTCTTACTGTAAATAGAATTACATCAGGGCCAGTTGTACTCATTTTTATGTTTTATTTAATTAAAACTTATCTTGTTTTTGTAGTCTATTTTGTTTTGAAGCTCTTCTCTCTATCAAAATAATTATTCTCCTATTTGTGTATCGAAAAATCTATCTTCAGGGTTCGGAAAATAGTTATTAGTTATAATATTGGTTACAGAGTAGAACATACGCCAAGGTATAGGTGTGAAGTACTTGACGACAGCCAGCAGATCAGTACGAAGTGAGCTCATACAGATACACACCAGACCTCCACCCAGTGTGCCCATGTGTGTTTGTTGAAAATAAAACTCCCTTTTTATGTCCAGTCATTTCATTTCTGCCCTCCTGTGGTGTTCAGTCTTGTATTCTGTTTCTGATCCCTCCCTGGTTTCAGATGGTGTAAAATCTGCACTGATATTCTATAAGACTTCAAAAATTGCTGGAAGGCACTGAAGATTTTTATTATTCCCTCTTGCTCTTCTCTGCTCAAGATTTGTCATCATCAAGCATTCAGATGTATTTCTTGTGTAGCCGAATGAGAAGCAGTTTTTTTTTTTTTTGAAAAGGGTGCAATAAAAATTATTACAATATATCTCTCAGGCTTCAGAAGCCATTAGTGAAGTCCTGCCAGACAGCCAGACGCACACTTTCTCAAACAGATTTCAGAGTATTATGTTTCATCCCACAAAAGTCTTGTTTCATTATGCACAGATTTAATACTGGCCTCTTTTTCATTCATCTGCAGATAGCATGTCGCACGTTGACCAGCTTTTTGTCCTCTTTATCTCCACTTTCACTCGCACATTACTGTGTTTCATGGCCTGTTACTGCCCCCTATAGATCATCATTACTGTGACTCTATTAGCTAGATGGATTGTTCCCCCATTGAGTATGTGTGACTCATGATTAGTATTGAAATACGGCTAAAATGACCTTTGGCCTTTTCCCCCCTCTTTGTGCAGACACACCATCCCAGCGGGTCCAGTTCATCCTGGGTACAGAGGACGATGACCTGGAGCATGTCCCCCACGATCTTTTCACTGAGCTGGATGAGCTCTCCTTCAGAGACGGTGATGCCACTGAATGGAGGGAGACTGCCAGGTCAGAAAAGAACATTTTTGTGACATTTAGCTCTACGGCAAAAGTAAACCTACAGTCCTGATTAGGTGCTTTTTAAATTAATTAGTCATATTTAACTGCGACTAGGCTTGCACCTGTATAAAAGGTAGAGTAGACTCTTTTACTTCCTAGAATAGGGTCATTTGAACATTATGTTTATGCAAATGTGACTTTTTTGTTTCTGTTTTTTAAATTCAAGTTCTTAGAAGGGAATAATTGTCTAAATTATTGTTAGTTTTTGTAGAAATGTTCATGCAGCCTCTAAATCTGCGCTCTTTCACTTCTTCTTTTTCTTAAAACAGTCTCCCCTGCAGCTCTGAATAGACGCATGCTCTGCTTGTACTTAGCCTCAGGTCACAAAACTTCAACAAGGAAACTTTACTAAGAAGTTAGAGTTGGCGTGGATATCAGAGTTTATGTTCAGTAAAAGAATACATTTTAAGGAATAATGCTTTTGTACACTTACTGAAACTGATTCATGAACATTTCAAAGAAGTCTTGTTTAGATTGAGAAACTTCTCCTTCAAGTGTAATGCATCTTTTTTTGTGTGTATTGTGCTGTTTTTGTGCAGGTGGTTGAAGTTTGAAGAGGATGTAGAAGATGGTGGGGAAAGGTGGAGTAAACCCTACGTGGCGACATTGTCACTACACAGCTTATTTGAGCTGAGAAGCTGCATACTCAATGGCACAGTCATGCTGGATATGAGGGCCAACAGTATTGAGGAAATTGCAGGTAACATAGGATGATGTTTTGGTGTTTTCGGACTATTTCTGCTGCATTTTGATGTAGCTCCGTGTTAAACAGCACTTGAAAATTTGAGGAAACAAACACTCACAACCCCAAGTATCTAATTTTTAGTTATCTCCCTTTCATGCTTTCCCTTTGTACCGCCCAGACATGGTGATCGACAGTATGGTGGCCTCAGGTCAGCTGAGGGATGATTTGCGCGACAAGGTGCGTGAAGCCATGCTGAAGAAACACCACCACCAGAACGAGAGGAAGCTCAGCAATCGTATCCCTCTGGTGCGCTCCATTGCTGACATAGGCAAGAAACACTCTGACCCACTCTTGCTTGAAAGAAACGGTGAGATCCCACGGTGCGCTCGAATTTCTTTTTCCTCCATATTTTCCACCACCGGGGAGCTGTTCCTAAAAAATCCACTGTTCAAATCCCTCAATGCCAGCGTAGAAGGTGGATGGTAAAAGTGAGTAAAAAAATCTAGAGAATGATCTACATTGAAGCAGTCTTCCCCTTAGTGAAAGAGAAATCTGGGTGCTAGTGACTGTGCTAACCTGTATGGCTGGCCTGGCTTGGGGTTTGAATTAATGGTTGTTTTTACTCCATAGGGTGACACTCAGGAAATATTGCTTTACCTGCAACTGGAGTCAGCACTGTTTGTTTTTTTTGACTGGGCATGCCCGCAGTGGTGTTAATGTATGGTGTGCATTTATGATCTTCAAAGTCCTCAGAATGACAAAAAAAAGTCAAAATCTCCACATTTGATGCTTGTGTTTCTGCCGAGCTTGCATTTTCATATCATTAAACCTCAAACACGGGTGCGAAAGGTCAAACGTATATGAATTCCACATTGATGGGTGGTGATGGTAATAGTTTTAATGTGACGACAGATGAATGTCCTGTGTCAAACAAGTATGCGTGTGTAGGATTTCTGACTGATCTGTTGTTGTTGTTGTTGAGCACATGTTTGCTTACAGCGCACTGACATCGTGCTAACTCATCCTCTCCTGCATGCAGGCCTCTCTGAACTCTGAGCTCTGCTTTACCTCAGTCTTGTTGTGTGATTGGTTTGGAGTTGAATGAGAAGTTATCTGGCCCTTGTGGACTCCTCCTACATGCCTCACTGAATCACTCTCAGTGTCTTCTGCACACAGCCATGCTTTCGCTCACGTTTATGCAAGCACGATTCTCTATAACTACACCTCCGCCACGCTCTTGCTGCCCACCCCTTCCGGCTGTGTACCCCTCCAGATACCATCTCTGTGATGTACTCCTACTTCATATGATTTTCCTCTCTGCTCCATCCCTTATTCCTTTCCCTCCTTTTCTCTCTCCCTTTTCTTCTCCTCTTTGTGCATTTGTTTCCTCTGTTAGGAGAGGGCCTGTCCTCTTCACGTCTCTCTCTCCACAAGCCGGGGGCAGCCTCCTCTGTCTCCAACCTCTACCAGAGACAAGAGTCCAAGGTCTCCGTCCTGCTCAACCATCTCCTGCCCTCTTCCTCCAACACTGGGCCCTCCTTTGGCTCATCCACCCCCACCACCCCTCTAAGTACCCCCACTCCCTCCCGTTCCCTCGGCGCAGGCCCTGGCCCTCAAGGTATCCCTGAGGTGGTGGTATCTCCTCCCGAGGATGACGACCCTCACAACTCTGCGGAGGACGAGGCAGTGTCACCACAGCTCGGCCGGAGAACATCCTCGGCATCCCACGGTTTCGAGCTGCTGCCCTTAGAAGGCAAATATCAGTGTAGCCTGCCAGTGTGAGTCACGGCTTGAACAGAGAACACTAGCACTAGCATGAAAGCTCTGCTTCCTCTTAACTTCCAGCCCTCCCCACCTGCGGCCATTTCATTAATTACTCACAGCAAGGCTCACAGGCTAAGATGCTCCTTCTTCTGTTTTGATTCACTAAATTTTTCCAACCTCTCTTTCGCCGCCTCATGATCCCTCCTTTTTTTAAAACCTGTTCCGCTCACTGATCCTTCTCTACTAACATTTTCCTGCATATTAAACTCTCTACACCTCTCTCTGCCATTAAACCATTCTCAGTCTCTTCCTTACACATTTTCAAGAAGTTCCTTAGCATCTGTGCCTTGCTCGGCACCGTTTCACACCTTCATTGTAGTTGCATGGCTGCCTCCCTCGATATTTTGGTATGTCTTCGCCCCAAATGCATCACATTTATAGTAAAGTTTTATTTCCACTTACAAACCCATCCCACATGTCTTGATTTATGGATTTAGGACCGGTTTGAAAGGGTGTCCCACTTGTGTTAATTTTAATTCTCGTCCTGGATCACAGTCTGAGTCGCTGAGTCTTGAGTCTTGCCTATGAGTGAGCCAAAACCTTTATTTTAAGGGGCCTCACTCAGAGTGTGTTAAAGCTTGACAAAAAGAAGAAAAACTATATTACTTCTTAGTTGTCATTAAACATATTTGCTACTCTTGTATTAAAGTATTGACAGAATTAGAAATTCACCCTCCTCGATGTGAATCATGATCACTAATGTGCTCTTAGAGGAGTAATAGAGTGCACCTGTAAAATGTGGCCTAGATTTTTTCTTTAGTTCTGCTGCACACGCACCACTTCAGTGTGGATTTTATTAGCTGGAAACTGCAAGGTGCTCATTAAATTTTGTGGCCCTCTGCTGTTCACTGTGTTCCTAGAAATAGGTTTCTTCTGTGTGGCCCTTTTTATGGGTGCAGCACATTGAGAACAAAACTAATGTTGATGCAAAGAACTGAGAGTTCGGGGGTTTCTAACCCTGGAGTATTGTGAAGTTTAAAAATAGGCCTTGTTCTTAGATGTATTTAATGTCTTATTACAAGATAGTTTCATACCCTTTTATCTCTGAGCGTTTTATCCCCATGTGACTCCCCTATTTGAAGTATAAACAGATATTAATATGTGGCAACTTGTGTTTTCCATCCCATCATTTGGCACCCATGCGCTTCCCTTCCCCCTCAACAATTCCTAAGTATAAACATTCTTTTACCCGATAGAGCGAGGTGGTGAGGGCAGCTTGTGCCAGTAACATGGCTAAATATAAGCCAGAGACCATGGAGGCTGTTTCGCACTGTATGTACTGTCATATTGGCAACTACAGCAATTTTTCCTTCCTCTCAAACCAACCCTAGTTGGCTTATTATTAGACTGGGTCTGCGTGTGAATGTGTGATTATGTGTTTGTTTCACTGTGGGAATCGCTCCGTTTCAAAGTACGGACCATTAGTACCAGCAGTCACTTGGTGGGAGCTGAATTGAAAAGGTTGGGATGGTCTGATTATAGCCGAGAAGCTTTTGTAATTGTACCCCAGAAATTCTCAAGAGGCAAGCACTTTGACACCAGAGTGTGGGTCATTACTCAGAAGGGGGCTTCGAGCCTTCATTATTACACTTAAATAACAGCCAAGGTTGTAATATCTGCACTGGAGCGACATTGATTTTGAACAGCGATTGGTCTAACATTTTATTGTACAGAGAAATGAAGTTGAACGCTCAAATTGCCTTTTGTTTGTCAGTCGGATTAACTATCAGGATGCCAGTAATGGATGAGTTTAAGGGTTAATCGATGTTTAAACATTTTCCTGCAGTTTTTAGACATGTATTCTGTAACCATTGAGGCTGTTTGTTCACACGTGTTAACATTTTCTCCATCAAGTATGAGGTCATTGAAGAAACACCTGTACTCAGGGCATGTAGAGAATCTTGCTCTTGTTAATCTCCACTCTTAAGACAATCCAAGTTGTCAACATCTTGTTGCCATTTAACCTGAAATGAGCTTGTTCTGGTATTAATTGAACGTGTACTATTTAAACAAGAAGGAAAAATGTTGCATCAATTAATATGAACCCTGCATGTAAACAACTACAGGTAATCTTTCTCATAACAGCATAATTACCAGCACTAGACTAAACTCAGAAAACACCAAGATTTCTGCAAAGCTGCTCCAATCGCATAAACTTGGATCATCCTCTTTCTACCAGAAATATCCCAGAGCCTATAGCTCGACATAAGAGTCAGATTATCTTTAAATTCAGTTATTTATGTTTGTGTTTGCATATAAATAAGTCAGCGCTGTGACGCCACTCTTTAAACGGAGGGTACGGGGGAGCATTCCAGGGCTTAGCCTTCCTGAATGAAGTGTGTTGGCGGGCGCAACCCAGGCTAATCCCTCCCTTATTCCAAGAGGCTTTGTCGGGTATGTGAGCAATCATGCTCCTGTTCAGCAGTCACAACTACCCAGCATACACTGGGGTTACTTCAGGGTACAGTTCAAGGGTCCACATCACTGGCCAAACCTTTTGCAAGTCGAAATGACATACTTTTATTTGATATGGGATTTAAAAGAGGCTGGTTGTATATTTCTAAACTCTATTTTTACTCTGGAGGTTGGCTTGATTCTGTCCTGGTGGTGAAAACAGAATGTGTCAATGTGAAAAATGAGAGGAGAAGGAAAACCTGGTAAAAGAAGTGTTACTCTGAATTTCAGAGGATAGTATGCAATATGCTATCCTTGGATTCAAAAGCATCACTCCCTCATTTCATCTCCCACTCTCATGTCACCTCAAGTGCTAGCGTTTCCTGGATCTGGTATGGCTCAAATCAAATAAGCAAACGTTGAAGTGTGTAGCCAATTATGCACAGAAATAAAGCAGAGAGCTGAAGTCTGGGGAAGGTGTACTGTCAGGCATATCAAACACATCCTCTCACCTTAGACTTAAAGCTGACAATGTTCAGGCTTAGTCGAACTGACTAAAATGCCAAAATAATGAGCCCAACAGACGAGGAGCAAACCAGCATTTGTCAGATAGATCCTGCTCCCTGTGGAGAGACATCACAGTCTTCCTGCAGCTCTGTAGCAAATCAACAAATTTAGCAGGAATTGGTATGTTGGTGGGAACTTTTCACTCACAGCAAGTCATGAGGAAAGAAAGTAGATCTGTTAACATTCAGCTACTTAGTGTTTTAGCAGTTTTAAGACATGTCTGTTGTACAATGTAGTCATTGTAGTTCAATGTCTCAAAGCTCCTGTCGATATTAAACAAGAGTGCTTTGGACTTGAATCAAAATTTCTTAACTGGTCCAGAGACCAGGTTTGTTTGCTAATAGCTTGCCTCTGATTGAAAAAAAAAAAACCCAGAAATTTCTCATAGCTGATGCAGAAACTAACTTTCTTTTGTGTTCTTCAAAATGAAAACCTGACTAGAGAGAGTTGACAGACAAATGGTATCTAAATATAACAATTGGCATGTCATGGTGAACCACACAGCTTTCCTAGACCACTCTTTGCTTCCAGCGTACTTACATGGTGTCCATTACTGCTTTATCTCCCCTACCCTTCCCCTCTTCATGCTCCTCCCAGGACAAATGGTGTCGCCGAACTCTGTCCCCAACAACCTGGACGGCAACAAGGCGGTGGAGAGGAGGCCGTCCAAAGTAGGGGTCAGTAGAGAAAGCAGCAGTGTCGACTTCAGCAAGGTAACCTAAGCACAGTACTGAGCACAGAACCTGTCCATCATTTTGGAGGGGGCTCATGAGTTCATCGGCGTCTTCCACAGACTCAGCTGTGATCTGTGTGGAAAACTGCCTGTATGACAAGCACCCATCACAAACCCATCAGGCCTTTATTTCTGTTGGGCTCAGTAAAAGGCATCTTCAGACATTGATCCACCTGGGATGGCCAACGATTGATCATCAAAGTCTTGTACAGTTATGTAACTGTGTTTGGTTTGAAAAGATTCCTCCCTCGCATTGCCCCCATTCATCTGACCATTTTATGGCTCTTCATCCATATAAAGAAATGGCAGGCTGCCATAAGTAGTTAGCATTATAAAACCATTATGGCTGCCAAAAAAATAAGGTGCCGTGTTTATGTGAGTCAGAGGATCTGAAGGAGGGATGAACGCACAGCCTTTCTAAACAAGGATAAAGAAGTTGTCATGCTCAGATCTGTTTTTAGAAGAGAACATAACAGAAATCTATTTGGGAATACAAGAAATGCCGCACAGCAATGGACAATCTCTGCTCAGTACTTTGTAGTTACATATGAAGCGTTCAACTCTCAAAGCATCCATGTGACCTGCTGCCATCCCATGCATACATTACACTCATCCATGTTTGCAAATCTGTCTTTTGTACCCTTGTGAGTTGTTCTCTCGTCTTATTCGTCTGTTTCATTGATTTTATGGGTTTCGTTGGTTTAGGTGGACATGAATTTCATGAAAAAGATCCCTCCTGGGGCTGAAGCTTCCAATGTTCTGGTGGGAGAAGTGGACTTCTTGGAGAAGCCCATAACTGCCTTCGTAAGGCTGTCTCCTGCAGTCCTTATCACAGGCCTCACAGAGGTGCCCGTGCCCACGAGGTACACTAATAAGAAATTGAAAAATGTCAAGATAAGCCTTCTATTAAAAATGTAGCAGTAATTCAAACTGTGGCGAGTTATCACATATTGGTAGCAATTTCAAACGAACTGACATAGTCATTTGTAAAAGCCCTGTCAAGTTATGACTAATGGAGGGGGCAGGGGTTTAACTCTTTAAGTTCTGTGCCTACCAGCCGTATCAATGCTCATAAACTAAACGCTGTCTGTCAGAAAAGAATAACTTAGTTTGCTTAAAAACAAAAAGAAAAATACATTTTTGCATTTTGAAAGTAAATACAATGAGTTGTGATTAGTGTTGCGTCTAATGTCTTTGTCTTGTTCTCAAAGGTTTCTTTTCCTGCTCCTTGGTCCTCACGGCAAAGGGCCACAGTACCATGAGATTGGGAGATCCATGGCGACACTAATGACTGATGAGGTAAAAAAAAAATGGAGGAGATAAGAAGAAAAAAAGCTTTAACTTTGATTTTTTTCATTGTTTTTTTTTTTGTTTGTTCTTTTGGTTGTGACCAATCCAGTATGATATCGCTGTTTTGATAACTGCTGTTGAATTTGAATGTGTAGATCTTTCACGATGTGGCGTACAAGGCCAAAGATCGAACAGATCTGCTCTCGGGGATAGATGAGTTCCTCGATCAAGTGACTGTCCTGCCTCCTGGAGAATGGGACCCCACTATCCGCATTGAGCCTCCAAAGAATGTCCCATCTCAGGTTAGACAGTTGCTCTAAATCCTCCAGGAATTTGACCTCTTATGAATCTGGTGACGGATACTGTAGCCCAGAGGTTTTTGTTGACTCGACTGAGACTCCCCTGCATTATCACAGAGAGGCTGCCCCCTTATGGACTCAAAGCATGACTGCAAAGGAATTTCGATGGATGTAAATGCATTATTTTTCATTTCCTTTGACTCGCAGATGAAGAGGAAAAGACCGTCCCAGCCTAACGGCACCGCGTCTCCATCCGGGGAGCTGGAAAAGGAGGAGGACAATCATGCAGGACCTGAGCTGCAGAGGACTGGGAGGTGAGTTTGACCAATCACAGGATCATCTGTGATGTTTTTATTATGATTAATAAAACTTGTTTATGCAGTTTTGTCAACCAAGATAAGATTGAAGAGCTGGAGGAGGAAAATTCTGAGTTACTGGGCCTTTTTGTGGTTACAGCACAGAGGATGTCTAAAATTGGGTCAACATGAATGACATCATTGGAAAACATTTTTACAGTGAAATGTTTTCCCCTGTTAAGCAATTACATTTCATGCCTGCAGGACTGCAAGAGAGAGTTTAGTGATAGCCCTATTTTTATGTCTCCATTTCATCAAACTTGTCTGACGAAAATGAAGAAATGTGAAATTCATCAAAACCAACACCTCTGTGTGTTTAAGCAGACGTATGTTTACAGCTCTCTGCGTACCTTACTCGCTGACATTTATGACAAACTCATGCTGCGTCTCCAGAGCCAAGGCCACACAGCAAGGGAAATGTGTTTATTCAAAACCTCAGCCAGACACAAAAGCGCACACATTCACCGCACGAAATACACATCAGTTGGGAGGCACTGTATTATTTACAGATTGGCTCGTCTTTAAACTGCTACTATAAAAGGCTCATGCTACCTGGGAGCAACTGAGGGGCAGAGGAGTGCAGAAAGCTAATGGGCAGGAAGCAAATAGAAACAGGGGCTGTATAGAAAAGACATCAGGGCACCGGGAGGCTGGTGATGGAGGTTATTCTGGAGGTGTGTGGGAAATATAATAAAGTAGAGACTCACAGCAAGAGCGGTTTGACAGGTGTCGGAAAAAAAGATGAGGAATTATAAGGTGAGAAATCGAAACCCTCAAAAGCAGAGCAGAGTGAGGAAGACTAAACTGTTTTTCTTTACAGTATGTGAATACAGACTGATTATGTTTTCTCCTGTATAAGAGTATTTTTTTTCCTCTAAACTTTTTATCACAATTTTGGAGTTTGATATGAATAATTCTACACAAAAGGATGAATTGCTTCACTATAATGGATCCAACACTGAAATAAATGCACCCAGTTGAAAGTTCAGACATTAAAAAAACTCTTCTCCCTCCCAGGATATTCGGAGGTCTGATCATGGACATCAAGCGGAAGCTGCCGTTTTACTGGAGCGACATCCGGGACTCCTTCAGTCTACAGTGTCTCGCCTCCATCCTGTTTCTGTACTGCGCCTGTATGTCCCCTGTCATCACATTTGGAGGTCTGCTCGGGGAGGCAACAAAGAGCAACATAGTGAGTCCACTCAAGAGTTAGCACTTGTGCTTTTTATGGATGTTGTGGGAATTAAAGCCCCTAACTGTGCTTTTCAGACTACTCTACTGATCCAAATGAGATGTATAATTTAGGCATCAGATTTCAGAATACAAACTGTCTTTATAAGTTTTGTACTAAGTACTCTAATCTTTCAATAGGAGGTCTTTATTTGTGGTCTAAATGGGACATGATATCCCAGCCTCCCACACACTTATCAAGCTTTTCCATAAAGTGTCTCCTTGTTCTTGTCACCTGCCTCTTTCTTTCTGGCTCAATCTCTGCTGATGTCTTTACCAGGACAGGGACTGTTGGCATAGGGATAATCTGTGCGCTGGTGTGTGTGTGATGGGTGTGAGTAAATTCAGCAGGCGAGGGCAAATCATAGATGTGACTTTGGAGAAGTCAGTAGGGTGAAAACTATCAACCCAGTTTATCTTGCCTCTGCTTTTGTCCTGGTCGGGCCTCCTCTTCACCTCACCTTTTCCTCCTACAGCCTTTCCCACTCTCTCCCCCTCTGCATGGTTTCACCTCCTCATACCGCCCTGTCTCACTCCCTTACTCCTTCCCTTTCATCTGTGTCTACAGAGTGCCATTGAGTCTCTGTTTGGGGCTTCACTGACAGGGGTGGCATACTCCCTCTTCGCAGGCCAGCCTCTCACTATTCTTGGCAGCACGGGTCCTGTTTTAGTGTTCGAAAAGATCCTTTTCAAGTTCTGCAAGTATGTTCATGCAAGGTTTTCTTGATTTGACATTAAAAATATTAAATAAAGCTGATGAAATCATATTATACGCACTTTTTTCTGACATTTAAATGACATTTTAATAAAGTCCAGATACCTAATAGGCCCCAATGTGCTTGAAAAATAATCTTTGTCTTCGTTTTTACTTCCCAGCGACTACGGCCTGTCCTACCTGTCGCTGCGGACCAGCATCGGTCTGTGGACGGCCTTCCTGTGTTTAGTTCTGGTGGCCACCGATGCCAGCTCCCTAGTCTGCTACATCACCAGATTTACAGAGGAGGCTTTCGCTGCGCTCATCTGCATAATCTTCATCTACGAGGCTCTGGAGAAGCTCTTTCACCTGGGGGAACACTTCCCTGTCAATATGCACAACAACTTGGACAACCTTACGCTGTACTCGTGAGTACTCGGAGCTCTTTTAATGAAATCACAACAAAGCAAGAGAACGAGCAGTGATGGCTGTTCATGCATTTGTTTAGCAGCAGTTTAGCATAAACGTCGTGTTTGGAGTGAGTGATCGCTCATATGGGAATAGATAAGAAAGCGCTGTTGCTGTCACACATGAAGACTTATCTGCATATAGATAAACCTTTTCAGATATCTTCATTTTTTGCACATTCAGTTTGAGTAGATTAAAGCATCAAATATGTCAAAGCATTCATTTGTGAGGAATATTCCTGTGTAATCTGGGACAAACATGCTCTCTTTTCTATACATCACCTCAGGCAAAGATGTTATTTTGGTGTGACATAAAGACATAATATGTCCTTATCATGCTCTGTAAATAGCATCCTGTTAAAACATGCTGCTCGTGTCGCTGAAAACTGTTATTGTAGAGCCGTCAGTGGTCCCAGTTTGCCCTCCCCTCAGCTGAAAAGAAAATTAGGCCCTGCTGAATTAAACATTTAGAAACAACTGGTGCAAGAATAATAACTTCAGCTTGTGTTTTCAATTAACTTCAGAATGAACCCACCTTCTTTTCTTTTCTTTTCACATACAGTCTGTAATCATGATTCCTTCCCGTGTCCACAGGTGTCATTGCTCTCCCCCTGTCAACGCCTCAGAAGGCCTCATACAGGAGTGGAATAAAACAGGACATACCCCAGACTCAATCCCATGGAGCAGCCTCAATGTTTCTGTAAGACCAGCACACACAGATCTTTAGTTTCAAATATATCACATCCATGCTTGGACTGCATGTGTTTACAAAGCAAACATCAGCTAATCCTACACTGTTTACATACTCAAAGTAATCACAGAAAATATTGACACACAGGCTCCTCTTACTCCATTTTTATTTGCGAAATAATATCAGATCAGATGTTCAATTCCAATGCTAACCAGATACCTCTTTGCTTCTAGATGTGTAAGATGCTGAAAGGAGAGTTTGTGGGAGAGGCTTGCGGCCATCACGGGCCTTACATCCCAGATGTTCTCTTCTGGTCCATCATCCTCTTCTTCACCACCTTCTTCCTCTCCTCTTTCCTCAAGCAGTTCAAGACAGAGAGATATTTTCCCACCAAGGTAAGAGGCTACAGGGCCTCATTAAAGTCGTGTCTGAAAAGGCTGTTTTTTCTGTATCACTGTGCGTGCAGCCGTGCTTCTCGGACTATGCAAATGTATACATTGTGCCGTTCATTAGTATGCAGGAGCGACCTCATGTATAGCAGAATAAATCTTCTCTCATCCTCCCACACAGAGCCAGCTTGTCTGTTATCACTTGCTGTTCTGTGTAGGCAGGTACTGGTATTGTCTGTATTATTATGGTATTACTGTTGACTCATGTAATGATGTCTGCTTTGTATCTCAGTGGTGACCTCAAATAAAAAGGCTGTGTGTGTGTATGTGTTACTATAGAACAATGCTAGGCTGCAGTCGTCTTTAATAAGTGGATAAATGTAATGGTGCTGCTTTTGTGTGTTGGTTGTGTAGGTGCGATCCACTATCAGTGACTTTGCCGTCTTTATCACCATCATGATTATGGTGCTGGTGGATTATCTGATGGGGATCCCCTCTCCGAAACTCAACGTCCCTGACCGCTTTGAGGTAGGCATCTGTTCGACTGTATCTGCCTTTTTAAATATGGATGAATGCTCAGATGAGATCACACATCAATAAATCATCTGCAAGGAACTAATACAGCGAGCCATGATCTGAACGCAGCGTTTGGGAAATAAAACAAGTAGCTGCCCTTCCTCTTACAAAATCTTAAATGAATTTATGCGCAACATTTGTAATGTCGTCCAATTTTTGCCTTTTCACTGCAGCCGACTTCAAAGAATCGCGGCTGGCTGATGGACCCATTAGGGAGCAATCCCTGGTGGACGCTGCTGGTGGCAGCACTTCCCGCCCTGCTGTGCACCATCCTCATCTTTATGGACCAGCAGATCACTGCAGTCATCATCAACCGCAAAGAGCACAAGCTTAAGGTCAGAGCAGACCCGTGGAGATTTTACTTTTCAGCGTGGAGCTACTTATCATTTTAAAAATTCAAGGTAGAAGTGTCTGGATGTCTTCTCTACTTTTTCCTCCACTTTCTCTGCTTGCTGTAATATCCAGCGGTGCAAACTGCAGGTGACATGGATCCATAAAACCCAAATCACTTTCATTAAAAGCTCATTTTTAGCTTCTTTTTTATCCTTAGTATCTTTGTCGAAACAGTCCTATCTCTTCTTTTCTGTCATCCCTACTTATTGTTCAGCAACATAATCTTTTGCCTGTTTATCTGCAGAGTTTATATCAGATAAGCTCTTAAATCTTTCCGCCTTTTTTTAAGAGTATATTTATGCCTTTAGGCTCTGTCGTGATGCTATCTTAGAAATAAACTCAACTGACCCTGAGACTTAATGAAGCAAATATAAGAAACCCACTGTTAAGAATTAAGTTTCCTTCACAAGACATAATCATGGCTGTTCTCTAGACTCACTTGCTGTCTCTTACCTGCAGAAAGGCTGTGGCTATCACCTGGACTTGCTGGTCGTGGCGATCATGCTGGGTTTGTGCTCCATCATGGGCCTCCCGTGGTTCGTGGCGGCGACCGTCCTCTCCATCTCCCACGTTAACAGTCTGAAGCTAGAATCCGGCTGCTCCGCTCCCGGTGAACAACCCAAGTTCCTGGGCATACGGGAGCAGCGGGTCACTGGATTCATGATCTTCGTCCTCATGGGTTGTTCTGTTTTCATGACCTCGGTGCTCAAGGTGAGAAACGAAACCCCGGCAGAAATACATCCTCATGTTCTTTAAACCAACCGAAGTCAATCTCGCTGCTAATGACTCCCCAGAGGTTGTTGATGATATTTTGCAAATGTTTTCACAACTCGCGCTTCTTAATTCGACCTGGAGCTGCAGCGCACACACTCCCTTTCCTCCCCTGTGTGTTGAATAATTCATGCTGTTGTTACACTGTCACTCCGTTTCTGCACCTTACAGTTCATTCCTATGCCGGTCCTGTATGGTGTCTTTCTCTACATGGGTGTCTCTTCCCTCAAAGGCATTCAAGTAAGCCTCTCTCTGCTGCTCTTTGAAGATAATATACCCTTTTACTCTGAACAGAAACTGCAGTCATGAACTGTTACTGGAGATAAATTTGCTTCTTCTACTTCCAAACCTTTGATCGTAATTCAGAACCCTTGGGGGGCTTTTGTTAAGTGTATTCCCTCTCCTGAATAATGGATTGAACCCTACCTCCCCCCTCTCTGTCACGCCTTGTCTCTCCATCCTCACTGAGATTTTATTCTTTGCAGTTCTTCGATAGGATCAAGCTGTTTGGCATGCCCGCCAAGCACCAGCCAGACCTGATCTACTTGCGCTACGTGCCGCTCTGGAAGGTCCACATCTTCACCCTGGTGCAGCTTACCTGTTTGGTGCTGCTCTGGGTCATTAAGGCCTCTGCAGCAGCTGTCGTGTTTCCAATGATGGTAATGAGATAAACACGAGGGAGTGTCATTTACTGTGACACTTACAAGATATGTTAAAGGGAAATTCAACCACGAACATTGGCGATTTTTCCGCCTGAAAACAGATTTTTTTAGCTGTTATTAAAAATATTCAAATAATTTCACACTTTCAAACAATTTTCATATCTTTTAAAGGTAATAAAGGCATATATTATAATAGTTTCCATCTCTCCTGTTAAATTAATGAGATATTCTTTCTCTCTGTGTGCCTCCAGGTTCTGGCGTTAGTCTTCATCCGAAAGCTGCTGGACTTTTTCTTCACGAAGAGAGAGCTGAGCTGGCTGGATGATTTGATGCCGGAGAGCAAGAAGAAGAAAGAAGACGACAAGAAAAAGAAGGCGCGGGAAAAACTGGTGAGTCTTTTTTTTTCCCCCTCACCTTTTTTTGTGAGAAAATACTACATTTGCTTTCATGAACAAAAGGTTGAATTCACTTTTCTTTTAACATTTTAAATTGTTGTGCTGTCATGACTTAAACCCTATTACGTAAAAAATAAAGACGGATGAGTCAAACTTTGTTCAAAAAAAAGATATTTAGATTTAACTATTGCCTTAGTTTAACTATTGAGGACAAAGTAGTCAAAGTCAGTGTCAGATTCATGCGCAAAGGTTTCAGGTCAGTGGAGGCTGTTAAAAACCACAGGGGATGAGTCTGCCTGAATAAACTGCTTTTAATTTCAAGAGATATTTTCATTCTAGAAAATTAGCAGCAGTAATGGCTATGCAAGCTTTGCTACAGGAAAGAGAGGAAGTTAACTTTTTTGATCATATTTTAGAGAAATTAACATCAGCAGTCCCCTCATGAGACTCATAAACGACAATTGGACAAAATGAAAAGTAATAAAAGTCTAATAAGACGCAGTCTGAGGAAATAACTGCTATGAGCTCATTTAGATGTTGTATCCTTGTTGCACTGAGAGCTCTTTGGAGATAAACACGTCTGACACTATTTTTAAAACAGGAAGAGAGGACTAGGCTGCAGGAGGAAGAGATGGGACTAAAGGTCGGCTACGAAAGCCCGAACCAGCTCGACATCCCGGTGAAAACACTCTCAGGAAGGTGAGTTTAGCACTTTGCGAGGGACACTGTGGTACAAGGCGTCTTTATACTGTAAATGATTAATGAGCAGGTGTTTCCTGTTTTTAGTTCTTACAATAAGTGATTAAAAGCTGTAGTTTTATGGTGTTTTCATGATGGTTTTATAGACTAAAAGAGCTCCGAATGGTTACCCTGACAGTGGCCGTCAGCTGTGTGTTATTATGTCCATCTTGAACAGATCATACAGAATAGGACTAGTGACCCACAACCTCCCAATGGAAGAAGAGGTAGCAGGGCTGTGTGTCTGATGCAGCACATCTGACCCACATGGCTGCGCTCTAACCTCACTGATACTCGGACAGTCAGCGCATGGCTCAGACTGTCCTCCCCCCCTCCCCTCTTCAGCTATTTAAAACCAGAAACACCGGCTTTAAAACACACTGCTTTGTTTGCTGTTGGGTTTTAATTTGAAAGGTCTGTGATTCAGTGTTTAACTGACTAATAAGACGCACAATCTCAGCTCATGCTAAATAACTCTCGCATCTACTGTCCATACTTGTCGTACATTCTCACATGTGGTCTTAAATCCGTTTGAATCTCTGCATGCTCGTGTCTGCTCGTGTTGAACTGTCCCGCACTCCCTCTGATTTGACGTCTACTTGCTGTTTTCTCTTTGTGTCCCTTGTGTGTGTGTGTTTGTGTTTGTGCTACCTGCGTGTGCGTGTGTGTGTGTGTGTGATTGCATGTTTTTGTAGTTCTGATTCTGACCCCTTGGTTGTAAATATCTCTGATGAAATGGCCAAAACCGCAGTGTGGAAAGCAGTGAACTCGAGTGCAGAGTCATGTGCCCAACCCCAGAAACGTAGCGGAAGGTAGCTATGCCGACTTCCTGGAGTCCATCCTCCGAATTAATACAATACATTAAGTTGAATTTTTACTTGTTGGAATCTCTGATCTTAAGGATGGAATATTACAGTTCAAGTCTGGGTTGGTTTTTAAGTTTTACTTCATGAAGAAACTTTGAAAAACGCGTTAGCACAGGCTGACAAATCTGAAATAGAGCTGTTGCAGTTCAGAGCTGCATATTTTAACACAGTGCTGTCAAGGTGCACACAGCTGGAGAAGTGTTTTTTTTCCTATTGAGCGAAATCACTCCTCCACCTGACAGAATCTCACGTTTGCACTTCCCTTCCACCCTTTTGCCTCCCCGTAAATATGAGCGAACTCTCACCTTCCCCTCGTCTTCTTCCTCCCTGTGTATCAGCCAGGAAAAGGTGGCCTGCGTTAGAGTCGACATCAGCCCGGACACACCAGGAGGAGGCTCTGCTGCCGAGGCCTTCCTGTGATCAAAGGAAGGCCCCTCACCCCCTCCTGACACCTCCTCCCTACACCACACTCTACCCCACTGACGGGCGCCCTCATGGTGGTCAAGTAGGGTATTTAACTGCTGCGGCGTGCCCTCCTTCAGGGCACAACGGGTAAGTTTCACCCGTGACCGTGAGTCCTCCTCCACACAAAGTCTTGAGGCGCACAGACGGCGGCCTCCACGTACTGCAGAGGTCTCCAAGGGATGAAGGAATTCTGCTGTTACTGCCCACCGACGCTCACTGTTTAGGAACTCTAGCAAACACGTCATCCTTTTTAAAAACCACAGATGCCAAACAAAACAGGCCTCACTGGTGGGGATCTTGGACTGGGTGAACAGAATTTAACCTACTGTATATTTTAATTTAAATTTCACTGTTTTTGTTGTTTTAGCTGCTCCCAGTAGGTTCTTCAAAGCTCTCGTATCACAAGTTCTCCTGCACTGTTTTTATTTTAACTTATCTAGAAACCTACACCAGCTTCAATCAACACACATTAGATCAAAGCCATGCAGGTACTGTCTGTGCCAGTGGATTAAATCTGGCATGAACCAAAACTACATTCAGATACTACTTTATACATCTGTGCAGATCTTCATAAATCAGCTCCCCTCTCTGCAGAGTGTGGGCGCTCAGTATTGATATTGCTGCTCATAAGTTTGTCAGTTATTTTCACTGTAAACCTCACTGTTCTTACTGTACGTGATGTAATAGAAATATGAGTATTCATGTATGTTTGTACGTATGTAAACTGTGTTCGATTCATTTGTATCATTGTAGAAAACTGAAGTCAGAGGCCATATGAAGTCTGTACTGTACAGGAAGCACTTTGCCAGTATAGTTTCTTACCCAGAACAGATTATAGTGTATTAAATAGAGGAAATAATCGTCACATGGTGTCCGTAGAGCTGTAGTTCAACGACTCAGGAATCCTGAACGATTTCTGACGGCGGTCACTTGATATTTTTGTCACGAGGTGGTGATACTGAGCTGCCGCTGTATTCCTTTCATCGCTGGTATCACGACTATTTTAATAAACGCTGTAAATCATTAAAAAAAACCTAGTGAGGTGCAGAATAAACAAAGAGGCGATTGTGATCCCAGTTAGTTGCATCTGTTTTTATACTGTATGTATTATTGTTGGTATTAGTGTGTCTGTGCGTGTGGTGTAGAGATAAATCTGTACGTTTAGCGCTGCAAATCATTTTATGCAAAATATTTCTACGGTAAATGTTCAAAAGTATAATACTCTATGAAGTTGTTCTTATTTTGCTACGTGCAGTCGTGTTTTAGCAATAAGTATGGACTCATGAGTGTGGCTACTGTCCGGGCAGATAACAATTTATGCGATGATGATTTGTTCGTCTGTTTCATCGGCTCTGTCTGTGCGTAGCTGCAGTGACGAATATGGACTTTAGCTTACGTGCCTTGTCAAAGCTCTTTATGTGCAAGTCTTGTACTCATGATAAAAATTTTCAGAGCAGATGCACACGGTGGCACACAAACGCCAAAGACAGCATGGAGGACGCAGCGCACGGCTCATTACGTCTGCTGTGGTGTTACTGTAATCAATATTGAGGTACTGTTTTTGATTGATCAGTGAATGTCAAATGATTGTACCATCAAAACAAATATGGAGGCAGTGACATCTTCCAAAACATCTAATTTGAAAGAAGCATACTTCCCGTCACATGTGGACCATCTGGTTTAAAAATTCAAACAGAATCCACCAATAAGGTTCCTGTAATTTCATATTAACACTGTTTTACATTTCATGTCCAACATTTTAGCTCTGGAAGGATGTCAGCAACAAAGGAGGTGAAGATTTTACACCCTAGCATCTCTGAAAAGCGCATTTGTTGTGATGTACAGACACATAACATCAATGAAGCACACTGAATCCTTGAATGATGACTTTTCTGTCATGGCCGATTGGTGCAAAGCAATAAAAGCAAATACATGGTGTTTTTTTTCTGCTGTCTTCATTTGAATCACAGATAAACTGGTGTCAATTCTGTGCTTTTCTTCATCACAATCTTTCTACTTCCAATCTAAATGGGTGCTTTTAAATTTTGCAGTCCAGTCCCATTTACACTTATGAGTGTTATTCATGTTTAGGACAAAAGGTGGCAGCAGAGAGCCGTCTGGCACGCCACAGGAGCGAGCTGCAGGAACATCGAGCATGACTTCATGCACAGACAGACGGTAATCATGTTTGTACAGACTATTTTAGTGCTGCATTGGAATGGTTGAAAAATTGCTGTAATCACAAGTTTGAGATATCTTTTTGCAGATCCTTTTGACCTTCTGGTGTATCACTGTGTGCCGTGCTGATAACAGAACATGGTTATCTCTCAGTGCGTAGGCTTACGAAAGAGCAGCAGCCCGAAATGCAAACACAGAAGTCACGTTTGTTCTCAAGTGCTACAGTCTGTACACTAATAGAATAAGGGGTTAAATAGAACTCATGCAAACCAGTCAAAATCCATCAGATAACAGACAAATTCTGTTATCTCTGATTTCAGGAACATGGAGTGCCATTTACAAGATACAAACGCCTCATATTAAAGCTCACAAATTTATATTGTTTTTAAAGAGGGGCCTTTGACTCTGAAGGCCAAACAGCCCTGAGTCATTATTATCTTGAAACTGGGAATAATAATGAACTGGAAATGGCAGAGGAGAACATCCCGCTGCTCTTGGCTCACAGCCTGTTTAGCCACGCCACAGCGTGCCAAGTTTATACAAAGGTTGCTTTGTGCGCAAAAAGATCAATTTATCCACCAAGGCCACCAGATTGCATTCAGTCTGATTAGATAATGTTCCAAAGCCCAATCAAAGTCATGCGTCGTACACAAAAGCTGGTGTTAGAGGAAACTGTCATCCATAATAACAAAGAACCCCATCCATCCATCTAAACAGAGTGACTTCATCACCATAATTGGAGGTTTAATCAACATCATTTATGCACAACATGTTAAAGGTAACAGCAGCAGCCAGTCTCACATACTGTAGTGTGTAAGTTTTTGTCCTCTGGTAACGATGACAGCGCTTTAGTTCACAATCAGACATTTGCAGAGGTGACTTTTATCTGCTTCATGGTGCATGACCTCATGGTGGTGGATCTATTTAGTTCTGTCAGCTTGTCTGAAGATAGGTGGTGCATTACATAACAGAATACAAAAAAATTTTTACTCTTATGAGCCTAACATCCATCTCAGCATTATATCACCGCAACAATGCGGCCAGACTCTCCTCTTAAGTCCTTGCAGGCGCCGCATCTTCCAGTTTATTATTCACGTTGAACTTTTAGACCTAAGGTGCCCTTTAAAGTTTCATTTTTAAATCATTTAATATAACCCAAAATCTTTACAATACAAAAAACACTTTCAACTAATATTGCAGCTTCTTAAAGAAAAAAAAAAAAGATTAGTCAACTTAAAGTAGTGCTGCTTCGTTTTTTTTCTTAAATGTGCCTGCTGTCCCTGTCTTCAAACACAAACAGTGCAAGTCTGGGTGTTTTTACAAGGCATCACTAGCACTCCTTGTATCTATCACTTCAACTAAAAATCATCTCATATGACACTTTTCCAAGCTATAGAAAGACTTTGCCCTTTTTTCAGGTTAAATCAGTCATTCCAATTTCAGCTCAAAGTCTCTGATATGTAACAAAGTCGACTAAAGGGAAACGAGAACACTGCATTGAAACAGAAATGGTTTCCCCCAAGCAGGTAGGACGTACATCCTCATCTTAACGTCAAACGTGTGCTCCTGCGGCGGTCTGTGGCGACTCGCGGTTCAGTTAGCAGCGTTAGGCGGCCCCTCTGGGATCAGCGACATAAAGAAGGTGATGATGAAGGACCAAGTGGAGGACAGGAAGCCTGTGTGGGGCCCGCTGTTTGGATCTTCTGCGCCTTCCTCGCCGGATTCCCCGTCGTCGTCTGAGCCGTCATCTACCAGTCCATCCTGTGCAGGAGAGAGACAGGTGAGAAGATGATGCAGTGAAATACAGACCAACTCACACAGGCAGTGAGCTGGATCGCCTAAAAATATGTTTTACTTGAGAGATGCCAGAAAGATAATATCAAACTTTAAAAGAGATTAGATCACAGCTTGGGCTACTAAAATCAGACTGTTGTTGATTAAAGGTTTAAACAATTATGAAACAACTGTTAGATCCATCAAACGGGTTAAAGCAGCAAAACCTTATCAACCAGATACAATAAACCATTGTTTCCATTTTGCCTGTAATCTCTTAGTAGTGAAGCTAACAAGGAAACATGTAACATCTGAGCTGTGAGGGCCTGTGCAGCAGAAACAACTACTGTAGATAACTTTCAGCATCGTCATTAGTGGCAGTAATAATGTTGTTTTTTTTAAAGGCCGTGATAAAGAAACACAGTTACCATTTCTTGCATGTTAAGATCATGCAGCTCTGCCTCCGCCTCTTCCTGATTGGCTCTGTCTGGAAACAGTTCATTCTCCAGGTTGAAGGGAAACCAACCGGTCTGATGCCTGCGAACACAAAAGAATAGATTTTCAGTTCGGATATAACGTGATTCTTATATTTGAGGGATATTCCGGCGTAAAATTAATTTAGGGTCAAACACACCGTAACACAGAGTTAGAGGCCACCTCGAGAGATGAATGTTGCCGACCGCTTGCTTCTCTAGTTCCACCAACTTGAGCAACGACCCCACGATAGCAATATACAGCGGTCTACGTCTCCACGGGCAAACCTCAACCGAAACGCCGCTCTATAGCCACAAATAATGCTCAGAACAGCACCTAACTTCATCAACAGTACATATAGGGTCCTAACTACAGCACTAGCCACCAAACATCTTTTTAACTTTGCCTGATTTCTTTAGCAAAGAGACTAAACACAACTCACCTACTCTCTTCCAGCAGCCCCTTGTTTGTAGCGAGACCTCAGGCCAGTCTATTACGGACTACAGCGGGGTGACACAGCTCAAGGAAGAACATTTATGATCATTTCTTCATGGAAATGCAATCAGACCGAGACGCTAAGACAGAAGAACTACCGCGTCTGCAGTGCAAAATGATTAATATGATGATTTTTACTTCAAGGAAATAATAAAGAAATGATCATAAATGTTCTTCCTTGAGCTGTGTCACCCCGCTTTAGTCCTTAATGGACTGGCCAGAGGTCTCGCTTCAAACAAGCGGCTGCTGGAAGAGAGTAGGTGAGTTGTGTTTAGTCTCTTTGCTAAAGAAATCAGGCAAAAATAAAAACATGTTTGGTGGCTAGTGCTATGGCTGGGACCCTATATGAACTGTTGATGAAGTTAGGTGTTGTTCTGAGCATTATTTGTGGCTATAGAGTGGCGTTTTGGTTGAGGTTTGTGTGTGGCTCCATAAACCGCTGTGTATTGCTATCCTGTGGTCGTTACTAAAGTTGGTATAACTAGAGAAGCAAGCGGTCGGCAACATTCATCTCTCGAGGGGGTGTCCAACTCGGTGTTCCGGTGGGTTTGACACTAAATTAATTTTACGGCGGAATATTCCTTTCACAAAAAGCCAATTCTTTTATTTTAATGTTAAAATATCTTTGCATTTGTATCAGTACTCACAGGTAAAGCACCAGCATGGCCATCATCACCATGATGAAGCGGCTGAAGGACGAGTAGAAGTAAACCACACTTAGTAAGATCGCGGCGCGTGAAAATGTGTAGACCCAGTCCAGCCAATCCCGATTCAGCTCCTCCTCGTTCAGGATCTCCCCACCCTGGGCGTTCATTTGAACTTCTGGGTTGCCACGGTGATTTTCCAGAGGTTGCTGGTACACCTGATCGGGCTGGATTGACGGAGGTGAGGGCGGATCTGGCTGCAGGTGCTGAGAGGAGGCGGCCAGTAAGTGACTGCGGGAGAAGAGAAGAGAAGAGGGGGCTTTTATTTTGATAGTGTCGCTAAACATTCAACACAGATGTCGGGACAGAAAATTGAAGAACCTACTAATGCATGTAGTACTGTCGGGCGTAGAGCTGCTGCCACCACATTAGTGTCATAGGGTTGTAAGTGGGCATGTTTGTGGGAGGAGCTGACAGTGAGGAGTACTGATTCCAACTGGAAGAAAAGAAATGTTTATTTCAAACGATGCAAGCACGTACACAGAGTTAATAGAGCTGCTGTTAATCTGTGAAATATGAATCTATAGATGTGAGACAGTTGTAAAGATGTATCATCACAACTTGCACAATTTAAAATCTACATTAGCAGTGGGGAAACTAACATTTCACAACTGAAAATCTCAGCAAAATGATAAAATGCCGCAAGATCTCACACTAACAAAACCTGTTGACTGATGTTTAATATTACTCCTTCTAAATTAAAAAAGGGAATTATAAATTATCAAAATTTTGGGGTATTTTCTAATCATAATGGATCAATTTAGCCTAACCTGGGTTATACAAGTGCTGTAGAAGCGGGAGAAAAATGAACAGAAGCACAGTATACAGCGCACACTGTCCAGACACTGTCTCTTCACAACAAGAAGTCATTATGCTCAAGGTTGTGATGTTCCTGCACAGCCTGCTGACGAATCAGATTTCGCTGTTTTAACTTTATAAACAGCAGAACAAACGCTGTCATTCACCCGCTATGTTACCACACAATAAGAAAGAAAACTGTCAGGAAAGTGCTGAAAAATTCCTCGCATGAGAGGCACAAATGAATGACTGAGCACTGCTGGGTGATCGACTGTGACACAATACAAGGAGGAGCAGTCTTCCTATTAGACTGTCCTATCATGTAAATGTTACAGGCTCAATCTAAGAGACAGAAACGATAATGTCCTCTCCTCTACCTCTATTCACACATGAGATCAACATGCTTAAACAGTAGTTACACTCACACAATAGGCTGTATATCTCCAAGCACACACCTACATGGGTCTGTGCACATCTGTGCTGCAGTACTGATCAAATTTTCATCAGTCAACAGCTCACCTGTGCATAAATTGTGCATACATATGCGGGTCTGGAAAGTGTCCAGCTCGCTGTCTGAGTCCATCTCCACCCACCGCTGTAGATGCCTGCCTTTGCTGACCAGGGAAAGAACTAGTAGAGTTCTGCAAGGGCTGTGACCAGACAGAAAAAGTTCTTTAAATCAGTCATGGTGGATTGTTCATCATGACACCTCATAGATCCTCGGGGAGCTGCAGATTGCAGCAGTACCGTGGATGATGATGAAAGGGAATGTGGGGATGATGAAATGAGAAGAAGGGTGTGATGAGTGTGTTGTTGACCTACCGTGGGACCAGGCGAGCTCTCCTGAGGCTTGTTAGCGTGGCTGCGGGGGGGCTTTGGAGAGCTGGGAGGGGTTCTTGAGGCACAGACCAGATGGAGCATATGGTACTCGTCCTGCTGTGGAAGCCAGGCCAGGTTATTATCAAACAGTGTCCAGGTATTGCATGTTCAGAGAATGAAAACACTTTTAAACTTTGTGGCAGTACTTTGCCTCATTTTATCAAAGATGAAAACATACAGTGCTGTTCTTAACATCTCTTTTTTTTTTTTTTCTCTGAAATTAAAAAAAAAAAAAAAAGATTTCTTCCTTACATTGATAAATTATTTTAATTAATTGATAAATTAAATTAAAAGCTCATTTCACTAGATGCACTTTTAGGTACTGTATAATTAACTGCCAGTTCTAAACTGTCAGTTTTGTGCTCCAAATTTAACTAAAAACACTCTGATGAAAAAAAGAAATTAAAGTTTTCATGCATAATGTACATAATACAGCGTACATCCACACAATGAAAATGAACACTCAACACACTGAGCATTTTATAAGCTTTAATTTGACTGAAATGGATCAAATATAATTTACGTAATATTGTTGTTTTTACTATTGCCTTTTAATGTTGTTTACTTTTATTTGTTGTTTTTATTGTCGCCTTTCACTGTATGCACTTTGAGATCTGTTTTCTCAGATATAAAGCGCAATATAAATAAAAATTTCCAATAATAATAATAATTATTAGTATTATTATTTTTATTATTGTTGTAATGGTTGTTGTTACTATTATTATTAATTATTATTATTATTAGTTACAATTATCATTATTATTATTTTTTATTATCATTATTATTATTATCATCCTTATCTTTATCATTATTATTGTTATTATTATTTATTTATTTATCATTATCATTATTATTATTATCATCCTGATCTTTATCATTATTATTGTTATTATTATTATTATTATTATTATTATTATTATTATTATTATTATTTTATCTGCAACAGAGAGAACCTACCTTCCTGAGCACATCTTTTAGCGTGAAGTGATCCAGAAGCAGCTTCCCAGAATATACCAGCCTCTGGTCTTTGGAGCTCTAAAAATACAAAATCATACTTTAAATGAGGCCAAGGGAGAGAACATGTCTGCAAAAATACAAAACTGGAATCTGTTCACTGTTGTTTTTTGTTTGATCTTCTTTAACATGTCTACAGATATAGATCACAGCCATAAAAGATACAGATTTGTGTGTGTAAATGCCACGCATTCAAGATTATAGTTACCTTAATTAGGATAAATAGGTCTTAACGGTGGATTACACTTGCTTTAGAACCAGGTCAGAGTCTCCTCTTAAAGCCGACATTCACTGCTCATCCATTCAAGACTTTCAACTGAGTGCATTTCTTTCTGAATTCCAGTTGCTTCAAACTATGGGTAAATGTTAGACAAATACCACCAATGACAGTATATCCCAGCAGAAGTTACTTCTGCAGCCCAACAAAGGAGAAGTTTGTCTTTTTGTCCTTGCAAAGATTAGACCAAGAAAGAGAGGAAAAAAAGGAACTATGTCAGAGTGACGGCACAACACAACAGGGACATGAAGACCTTCCTTTCACTGTGAGGGAAAGAGTACAGACTGAGGTCTTTTTAAAAGAAGTTTGAAGGGATATTCCGTTGTAAATTTAATTTAGGGTCAAACACGCCGTAACACCGAGTTAGACACCCCCTTGAGAGATGAATGATCATAAATGTTCTTCCTTAAGCTGCGGCACCACGCTGTAGTCCGTAATGGACTGGCCCGGGGTCTCGCTAAGCACAAGCAGCTGCTGGAAGAGAGTAGGTGAGTTGTGTTTAGTCTCTTTGCTAAAGAAATCAGGCAAAGTTATAAAGATGTTTGGTGGCTAGTGCTGTGGCTGGGACCCTATATGTACTGTTGATGAAGTTAGGTGCTGTTCTGAGCATTATTTGTGGCTATAGAGTGGGGTTTTGGTTGAGGTTTGTTTATGGCTCCTCAGACCGTTGTGTATTGCTTTCCTGCTGTCATTACTAAAGTTGGTATAACTAGAGAAGCAAGCAGTCGGCAGCATTCATCTCTGGAGGGGGTGTCTAACTCGGTGTTACAGTGTGTTTGACCCTAAATCAATTTTACGCCGAAATATCCCTTCAAATTCCTCTACTTTGGAGAATACCTTCGGGTATTATCTCTGTAGACCTCTGTGACTCCTCCACACATTCGCAGATCAATACAGGTTACAATGACTGATGGGCTAGGGCTACAGAATCATTTTAGTCTGTTAAAAAGTCAGTCAGACCAGACACATTAGAGTACAGAGCTTATGTTACTTGTGGTTTATGCCAAGATGGAAACACTCGTCCCATGTTCCTCAAATTGGTTCATTTCTAATCTTGTTCTTTGTCAGCTAAAAAACACAAGATGTGAACCCCCCCCATGTGACTTAACAAAGTCACAATGGGGGTTTAGTTATCTTGCATGACAGAGGGGAGTGGGTGGAACTAAACACGTGTTGTACAAGACCCTAGAGTTACTTCTTTATTCATGTTTCCATGGCAGCAGCTTTAGATAAAACTGAGCTTTTGGTTTTTTTATTTGTTTTTAATACTATGTGCTGATGTTCTGTGCTTTACGACTGTTTATCAAAGCACTTTGTAAACTTCTGTTTTTAAAAGTGCTATAAAAATAAAGTTATTACTATGAACTCCAGCCAAATACTCACGGGTTTGCTTGGGTACACATCAGACAGGTGAGCTTTGAGCTTCTCCACAGTCCAGCTCTGGCAGCAGTTGATGGTCTGGTCAGTGTACTTTTGATTGGGTGCCCTGATGACAAGGGTAACAAGACCTTCCACAACACCTGGATCCATGACAAAAGAACATTTGTCTTCAAGAGGGAAAGAAAGAAAGGGGTTCACTGGCTTTTAAGCCCGCCTAGTGGTTTTCCAGTTGACCCCTCCAGGCCACCATTGAAGCAACAGCGTTATGTAAGGTCGGGTGATGTTAATCTGCAGCAGTAGGCTGTTCCTGCAGGTTCTTCATAAGGGACGAAGATGGAGCCTGGAGAGAGATAGAGGGAGGGGGACCAAAGTTTAGCTTGACCACAACAGAAACTATAAATCTGACAGATAAACAGGAACGTTATAGTAGATTTGACAAGGCAAAACCCGTTATCACCGTTCCTCTATGTGCGCATTCAACCGAACAACTAATGACAACTGCTGTTTTACTTATATTCCTTTATGACGACCCTGTTATTAACATCACATGTATAATATTTTACTTTGCTAACAGCGACAAAACCGCCCTGTGTAAGAGGTAAAATTTATTTGCTAAGCTAACGTTAGCTTCGTGTTATTTTTATGATTTACACCAAGCCTGCATAGTAAAAAACAGCCATCTTAAAACTACAGTGCAGTGATGATGTCTGTCTGAAAGAAATGGGATATAATTTCGCTCACCTACCCACTTCACGCCTGACAGCTGAAGTGTTGAGGCTGCTTTTAACTCCGATCCTCGAGTGAACCTGCTGGGTGTTTTTTTTTTTTTTTTTTTTTCACTTCCTTCTTCTTCTTCGTGGGTTTTCAGGACGGTGGACATATCAAACGTCAGCAGTACGTTACCACCATCTAGTGGTAGAAGAGTGAATTGCAGAAACACTGTCCTGGACTTCCAGCTCTGCCTTTAAATCTGGCACTGATATGTCAAAGCAACAGATTTCATGCTGAAACCTCCGTGCTTATACAGGTACAACATATAGATTAGATCAGTTAGATTAGAATAGGTTCGACTTTATTGTCGTTGAACACAGTACAAGTACAGGAACAACGAAATGCAGTTTAGCATCTAACCAGAAGTGCAAGATAGTAAAGTGCAAGGTATGTACATATGGGCAGTGCAGGTATGAACTGAATATACCATATGGTGCAATGAATATGCTAAAAATATATACACAGCGTTGGTTACTGCAGGTATGAATAGGCTATACAACAAAAAATAAATATCTAATTATGTATATCATCTTTATATACAGTATACTGTTAAGTGCAGGTACCAACTGCTGACAGTCATCATAAACCTCTTATTCACCCCATGTATCAATGGTAGTATCAAGTTGAGTCGGCCACTGAGTATTTGAAGCCTCGTGGATGTTGCCTCCTCAAGGAAATGTGCCTATTTGTAATGAATAGAGAAATAATAAAAGTTGATACCCAAACTGTATTTAAAAAAGTGTACTGTCGGTAAGACGTCATCACAGTCCATTTTCATGTTAGTTCTGTCAGTACAGTTAATTCAGTATGGTTTTTTATTCGTAGCTCCCACACCTCAATTTTTCTTTTCAATAAATATTCTCAAAACTGTCAAAAAAAAAGTTATAAAAATGTCCCTGTTTACATATTGATGGCAGAAACTGATCAAAAATCTTTTAATATTAGTTCATTTAACTTATTTTTTTTTAACTTTTTATTTCTCAACGTCTTACATATTTCAAGATCTAATTCCAGCACTTACTTGTTTTTTTATGATTATTATTTTTGTTTAAGCTTCAGAATTTGTTATTTAAACACAGCAATAGGAACATCCAGCAGTAGACAGGATCTTGAGGGAAAGTGGGTGTTTGTGATGTGCTTCCTTTGTATCTTATGCTCTTTCAAGTGCTGTACTGTATTTATCTGTATAAAACTAATAAAAATATTGTTGAGTTTAAAAAAAATCGTTCAATATTGAATAAGTAAATCTACACTAAACAGCCTCAACATCATGAACACATGCGTGCTCCAATACAACATTACTTTATTCTATTTATTCATAACAAACTAACATGAGGTGTGGTTTGTTTCAATGAAGGTTTTAATAAATTTATTCAAGACATTGAATTCGAGAAAAGACAAGGCACAAGTGAAAAACACAACAAGAATCTTACAATCTTATGCATTTATACTTTAACAATTACAAGGACCTGTGTTGTTCAAGATAAATTCTCCAATCTGACTGACATCTAATGGCTGAGCAATGGAACAACTATACCTCTGTCCTGTTTCCTCTAAAATTTTTCAAATCAAACTAATATATTGTGTTGGTTTGGCAATATCTATAATTTTTCATTTCATCTGTGATTATTATACTTTGTTATGTTAACAGGAAAACCTGACATTGCATGTGTAAGGATGTGGTGAAGATGTTTTATCGTAAAGTTTGATAAAATTAAATTTATTGATACGTGTAGCTGATACATCAATGACTTCGACCTATAAGCAATATTATAAGTTAGAAGTGTAAAACAACCAAATTTTTCCTGTTAGACAAATCTAACTCAAAATAATGCACCGCTATTCATCATCGAAAAGGACAAAAATGCTCCACAATAAATAAAATTATCAGGTTTTGGAATATTTTTAGGTTCTGTTTATGACAGTGATAACCTCAGGGGATTTTTCACAACCTTCAATGAAGATTCAGGTGCGCAATCTGCTCTCTATTTAAAGCTGATCACACAACTCAAGAGATTTCGCAGAGCCTTGAGTGGTTAAAAAGTTCCAGGTTACAATGTCCTGAGCAGGACAGTATTCATCTTGTGCTGCTGCTGCTGCTGCATGCTTGTGTGTTTGTGTGTGTTCCTGTGTGTTATATCAGACTGTATTCATTGAAAACAATCACAAACAAACAACAGAACCACAGCCAGGAAAGCCACTATGGACTTCCCTCAGCTTGCTGGTTTGAGGTCCATATGATCTAACCTCTTGGATAAATAACCCACTTCTTGACCCACATTTCCTGCAGGTGCTCCAGTTTCCTCACTCAAACTACATGCTGGTGATGTGAATGTGAAAACAGAAAAAATACTTCCTTTTTGTCAAAATATGCACTGTGACTGGATCCGGCCTAACATAACCTTGAGAATGGGAACACACGGATGAATAATCACTAGAGCCTTGGAACTTGGGTCAATTGTTGCTCCTTTTTATGAATACATCATAAAAATCCACAGCAACAAAATTCAAAAGCAGTGTTGCAGCTCTGTATTCTACTATAACATGGTTTTAGAGAGCACTTTGTATCTGCCCTTGAAAGTGACACAGGTAATGTGATTATGCCTAAAAACTTCATAAAGACAACAAAGAACATTTTAAACAGAAAATTAAAGCAAACAAAAAAAAGATCAAAGTGGGACTTTAAATGTAAGTCCATCTACCCAAAAACAATTTCAGGATAATATTGATCCAAATACGTTTATTTTTCAAATACATCAGTCAAATAAATCATTGTGCAAAGAGAAAAGTTTTCCCAAAGACTTCAGACTATTATCAGTCATCTGTCAGTCAGTTCGATTGCGCATTTCTTTATGTAATATTTGCCCTTTGACAACAATAGCGACAGCAAACAAGAAGCTGCAATTTATTCAACAATGCTGCAAGTTTTCCTTTTCTACTGCTTCCTTTGTTCATAATGAATGCCTACATTCATGACTCACTAGTGTTAAAAGATCACAAGCAGGAGGAGATTTTCAGAAAGCATTAGCAACACGGGTTAAAATTCATTTCCATGATAAGGTCATGGTGCCATTTGGTTCAATTGTATTCATACCACAAAGACTTGTCCACCAGCTTTTTAGCCGCAACAATCTCAATTAATTTTAAGATAAGAAAACTAGTAAAAAAAATCCTTTTTTATTCAAAGTTAGAAGAGCAGGGGCTTATACGATTTAGTAATATTGTATCTGGGTATCTGTTTTTTGTTTTTTTCTTTTAATGTGTGAAGATTTTCATACCTATTGTTAACACAACCACATCCAGCTGATGTTGAGCTGATATTTATATTTTATTTTTCATGACTGTCAAGATTGTCGTTACTCCAGGTGAGTAAAAATCTAAATAAAAGCTAACTCTTTGTGGGTTTATTATTTGCTTTTTTGAAGGTATTCAGTTTTAACCAGTGTTGATTTTTCTAAATATTAACAGGATGGTTTTAACATCAACTACAGGAACACCTGGATTAAATCAAGGTGATAAATATTTGCATTTGGCGTTAAAAAAAAAAAAAAATAATAATTTGCGTCGTGACGTAATCAGTGACGCAGACGAACGTGTACGTGAACGTTCGCATTAGTACTACAACTACATGCAGGTGTGCGGGACAAAATTGTCACTACAATATTTTACCTTCAAGTTGTAAATGAAAGAGACGGTTTAGTTAATTCTAATGAACTCATATGTTGTAGCAGATTCAAGTTATTAACCCAACGAAGAAACGCCCGACGAAGGAGAGTGGGTTATTACTTTTTTAAGCTAACGAGCCGTTAATAATAGTAACCAAGATGCTAACTGCTAACGTGTTGGAGGATATTTCCCTGCCCAAAATGTTGGACTCTGAGGATAAAATGGAGCATGGATGATAAAGAACTGTGTGGAAGAAGTGCACCAAAGTCGCGAACAGAAGGTAAGCAACTTCAGTTACTTATTGTGTTACTTGTTGGCTACATGGCTGGACGATGCTAGCTCGTTGGAGGTGCCCACCGCTGTTTCCGTCATGATGTCGGAAAGAAGTTAATTTGGATATATGTTTTTATGGTTTTTACTTTGGCTAGTGTTATAATCTTTCCAAGCATGTTTTTTCCTGCTGTGAGAGGATTAAAGGAAGGATTGCAATTGAACCAATTGACTGTTGAACAGAGGCAAGTTCACCATTGTGGTCTCTTTCGGTTCTCAAAGAGATCAGGCTTTGGAGCTTTGAAGGGAAATTGTTGTTTCATTCTCGTCTGTTCAGCTGCTCAGAGGTTCTGAATCTGCAAATTTCTTTCATTAGCACTAGTTTCTGCTGTGTTGTTCCTGCTCCATGTTGCTGGCATCACATTTAAAACGATACTTTTTCACAAAACAACAGTTGTTTTAAGTTTCATATGTTTTCTTTGCACAGTTTTCTATAAAAAAGATGGTTAAAGTGAAAGCCAGGCGTAAAATTGATTGAGGGTCGAACATACTGTAACACCGAGTTAGACACCCCCTCGAGAGATGAACGTTGCCGACCGCTTGCTTCTCTAGTTATACCAACTTCAGCAACAACCGCGTGATAGCAATACACAGCGGTCTGAGGAGCCATAAACAAACCTCAACCAAAACGCCACTCTATAGCCACAAGTAATACTCAGAACAGCGCCTAACTTCATCAACAATGTTCTTCTTTGAGCTGCGTCACCCCGCAGCAGTCTGTAATGGACTGGCCTGAGGTCTCACTACAAACAAGTGGCTGCTGGAAGAGTGTAGGTGAGTTGTGTTTAGTCTCTTTGCTGAAGAAATCAGGCAAAGTTAAAAAGATGTTTGGTGGCTAGTGCTGTGGCTGGGACCCAAAATGTACTGCTGATGAAGTTAGGTGGTTGAGGTTTGTTTATGGCTCCTCAGACCACTGTGTATTGTTATCTGTGGTCATTACTAAAATTGGTATAACTGGAGAAGCAAGCGGTCGACAACATTCATCTCTCGAGGGGGTGTCTAACTCGTTGTTACGGTGTGTTTGACCCTAAATTAATTTTATGCAGGAATAAGAAATATCCCTTTAAGTTTTATATGTTGTCTTTGCACAGTTTTCTATAAAAGAGAAGGTTAAAATAATTTACAAACCATCAAAATCCTATTCATATTTACATTTTACAGATTGCCCAATTTGTTTTGGAATTGGGGTTTTGTAATAAGTCATGTAGAGCCATTAATCAAACAGCTCATCATTAAATAATACATGAGTATTCATAACTACAGTGTCTGGTATTGTACAGTACATCTGACAAATACTTTGAGAAAAAATCCAGTCATATTTGAGATAAGCTTGTTAAAACCAAGTTCTCTTCCTGTGCCTCAACAAGGTCACTCTACTTTCCTCTGACTTTCTACAAGCTACCTGCTCTGCTGCCTGACTCTGTTTACAGAGCAATAAGCTTATACCATAAAAGTTTAATAAAGTGAGGTTTCACCTGCGCAGGAGCTGTGGTTAACTTTTCAAGATGCAGCGGCTGTCTTCTTTTCAAAAACCTCAGTCATCTGTAGGCATATGATGCACTTTCTGACATCAAAGTATTTACAGTGTCGTAAGAGATATCCGTGATGGATACGACTCATACGTCACTTACATACAAGTTCAGCTGCGGCCAAGTTTTGTCTGTTCAAGGCTTTCTGCAGCACAGCTCACCTTTGGCGTAGGTAGTACGCAGCACTACTCAGAGGGGTGCTTTGGCTTTCCATTGTGGTGTTGCAGAATTAGTCATGCGCGCACAATGTGTTGGATGGTCTAGTGAATGGATGCTGAAAGAAATGATAAAGATGTGATACAGGGGAGCGTACAGGAAGCATCATTGAATTTCATCCTATCCAGCCATCCATCTACTCCTGGAAATTGCATGGCACTTTTGTTTTCCTCTCAAACTTGTTTTCTTGACATTTGCCATTTGGAGTTGGATTTGTCAAACGTATCAAAGAAAGCCGCTATCTGTTGGTCAGAGCTGTCAGATTGTGATTCATGTTGCATTGTGGTTAATAGATCGTCAGGCCCTTGTTTCCCCCTCACTGCAATTCAGAGTGAGTACCAACAATTAGTGAGTCATAGTGGTGGAAAAGTCACAAGCTAGGACAGACGGAGGCTTTAACCACATGTTTGAGCTCTGGTTTTATATTGTTCAGCAGGTTTAACTCTATGTCACGATGATAAGGATCCACAAAGAAGACTGGGCTGCATCCTCGCATCTGACTCACTATGTTAATTATCGCCACCTTTATGTCTCGTTCTGTTGCTATTTCCCATCATATTTTCAATTACTCAGACTCGACATCAATGTAGTTAAATACACACTGATGCATCATCAGATTTACACAACAGGTTCTTATGAGTATCACCCTGAAACCATTGAATGAACCTGTTGCTTACACTGGGTGGCAGTATGCATTCATTTTTACATCACAGCTAAGAGACTAATTAATCTACAATGAGGAGCGCTACATTTCAACATGTGTTTGAACATCCCCTCCAGCGATGTTCACACAGATAATCCCCATGCTGCCAATATGTGAAAAATCTGGAAGCCTGGAGTGCATGACGCTCTCCTGCACAGAGATATGTGGAATGTGAGACTTAAAGAAAGCTAGTTTGACACGTTCTTGCACATATCTTCTCATTTAATTTAGAGGCATGCTAACAAGAGAGCTTACCTGAGTAGATTGCAATAATAACAAAACATTTTATTTGTATAGTGCTTTTTGCAGGAGACTTTACAGAAAGTTAAACAACAAAAATACAATGAGGCAAAGATTAAGAGTAACAAGCTAAAAATAAGATTAAATCGAATAAAAGAATACAAGTGGGAGGGGCAGATGTGAGGGGTGGGATAATGGTGAGTTGGGGGGGTCAGGTAACAAAAGCGAGTATGAAAAGGTGGGTTTTGAGGGCAGATTTGAAGCTGATGAGGTCCGGGCATTCACAGATGTGTTTAGGGAGGGAGTTCCAGAGGGTGGGAGCAGAGACGTTGAAGGCCCGGTCCGCCATGGTTCGGTGCTAGGTTTTGGCGAGGGTGAGAGGAGGTTTGCGTCAGCTGGTTCGGGGTGTGGCGGACAATGAGGTCAGACAGGTAGGGGGAGGCCAGGTGGTGGAGGGACTTACAGGTGAGGAGGAGAATCTTGAATTGAATTGACGGAGGACAGGGGTGATGTGGTCATATGGGCGGGTGCGGGTGAGAAGTCTGGCGGCGGAGTTCTGAATGTGTTGAAGTTTGTTGAGGGAGGTGGAGGCGAGACCGTAGAAGAGGCTATTGCAGTAGCCCATTCTGGTGGTGATGAAAGCGTGTATTAAGGTTTCGGCAGCAGATGGGGAGAGAAAGGGGCGGAGTCTTGCAATGCTTTTCAGGTGAAGGAAGGCGGAGCGGGCAAGTTAGGAGATATGATGGTCAAAAGTGAGGTCAGGGTTGAGATGGACTCCAAGGTTGCGGACGAGTAAAGAGGGGGTGATATGGGATTGGTCAACATGGATGGAGATGTCTGAGGTGGATTATGCACTCTTGCTTGCATAAAAACAAATTATTATTAGCGAATTAATTGACTGACTCAATTGACTAAGATTTAATATACAACACATTTTAAATTTGGATTCTGCAGCTTCACCCTCATTAACAGAGTCCCTGTTGAAACAGCTGGTTTCACCTCACTTTGAGTAATCAATCCTTCTTTTAGAGCATTTTGGTGCATATTGATTTTATAATGCTGTAATAGACCATTAATAATAATAATACATTTTATATTGATTTATTGGAGTGATATTTGAAGATTCTGCTTACGTCAGAAGTGTAAGTATATTTAAGTGAAAACTTTTTTTTTTCTGTTGAACTGACTGTCTTGCACACACACACGTCTAGCCAGTCTAAAAGACAGCTGTCCCCATGGAAACAGGTTTCCTGAGCTCCATATACAGATTTCCTGATAGAGAGGGAGGAGATAGAGGGAGTGAGGGCATTAGTCAAAATTTGAGTTGCATATTATAATGCCTCACTGTTAATATGCAGTCATTGTACTAAGTGCACATACAGCACACACACAGAGAGTTTTCAGATGCCATTAGATGCTGCAGTTTCACCTGCATGTGTGTTGCCAAGCAATTATGACTCACCTGACAGCTGAACACAGCCAAGGTGTTTTCTGTTCTATTAGTTTTCCTTGTGTATGAACATGAACTAAGAGGGAGGATAAATGAAAGCAGCCATTTCACCATAAGAATGACTCAACCTTTTCTGTGGATGCAACTACTCCCTGCCACAGGAAGGAAACATGTACAAATAAGGCAAGGTCAGCTGCATACTATTTGGCGGAAAGAAATCTCTCCCACAGCTGTTGATAATGGATGTGAGGGTCTCTAAAATTTCATTCACAGAAAGGGTTTTGTCCCGTGTACTATCTTGAGGTGGGTCACGGGTTGCATCACAGACATGATAACCCCAGTGCCACATCCTTACAAAGGCCCTATCAGTGATGCATGTGCCACCGGTGGGTCTCTGCGACACAGTCCTACAATAGTTTTATTTCTGGTGCACTCATAATGGCTCTGTGTAAACTATGAATAGAGAACTCGGAGGATACTGGGCGTGCATTAGACGCAAACATCTTAGCAGAGGCTTTGAGGAACAATGCTTCTCCCACGTTGGCTAAATTGTTAGTTACACTGACCAGAAATAGTCCCTTAAATCCACCCCCAAGAATTACACATTGCTGCTGGTGGTGTTTAGCCAGTGCCTCATTTTCAACGCATGTATTTATGGAAACTGTGGTCTAAAACAGGGCTTTATTTTTATTCCAAGGCCTGCAATATTTGACTAATAGGTTTAGAATTAAAAAAGGGGAAAAAAAGTTTATTTCAATCCTTGTTTGAGACTGGTTTGCGTCTTAGTTGCTGCCAAGTAAGAGCTGACTGTTACACAAGTGCTGCTGAAAAAAAAATCCCATGTTCTGGTGCGGTTGTTTGATGTCACTCCAGCAACAAGGACTTTTTTGTGTAGAAAAGGTTGAAAGTCAAATGTGTCGTAATGACCTTTTATTAACAGAGCTTAGTTTAGCTATGTTTTTCATAACACTATACATACATACATACAGTCCCTCCTATGACCATGAATCACAGCTCGCTTCTTTTACTCATCTTCGGCTTAGGATGTAGAGACCTTGAGCAGAAACACGCCTTTACTCAGGTAGAGCTGTTATAACGTAGATGAGTCCCCGCCGTGTTCAGCTACAGTCAAACCAAGTCAAGCCATACCAGCATATAATGGAAGTTAAAGCCCCAGACAGAAGTGAAAAGGACGTTGCCATTATCAGCAGAAAATTATTGCCATTATTGTCTTGTAATTAGAAGAGGTTCACCTGATGATTAAGCCTCTAAACACTTTCATTATAAACATGAACATCAACTGTGACTCAAAGAAGAGGCGGAGCTCTTTAGTTAGTGAGTGGAGGTTCACATGGCTCTGTTTTGATGCTTTATAAGACCTACTGTATGGGGATATCCCAGTATGACATCCTTATATCAGGCAAGAAATTACACCAGCATTATTGTAGACAATGGGATATAATATGATATGATGCGATACAGAACTGGGAGATAATAATGCCAAGTTACTCATGCCTTTGTATTTCGATTCAAACAGTGCTAATCTTAAAGGGATATTCCGGCATAAAATTAAGTTGGGGTCAAACACACCGCAACACCAAGTTAGACACCCCTGCTCTAAGGCGAGTCCATCGACTGCAGCGGGGTGACGCAGCTCAAGGAAGAACATTGATGATCATTTCTTGATCATTTCTTTGAAGTAATAATCATCATATTAATCACTTTTCACTGCAGACGCGGTAGTTCTTTGGCCTTAGCGTCTCGGTCTGATTGCATTTCTATAAAGAAATGATCATAAATGTTCTTTTTGAGCTGCGTCACCCCGCTGTAGTCGATGGACTCGCCTGGAGATCTATACAAACAAGCGGCTGCTGGAAGAGAGTGGGTGAGTTGTGTTTATTGTCTTTGCTTAAGAAATCAGGCAAAGTTACAAGATGTTTGGTGGCTAGTACTATGGCTGGGACCCTATATGTACTGTTGATGAAGTTAGGTGCTGTTCTGAGCATTATTTGTGGTTATAGAGTGGCGTTTTGGTTGAGTGCGTGGCTCTCTGTATTGCTATCATGCGGTCGTTACTAAAGTTGGTATAACTAGAGAAGCAAGCGGTCGGCAACATTCATCTCTCGATGGGGTGTCTAACTCTCTGTTATGGTGTGTTTGACCCTAAACTAATTTTCTGCCAGAATATCCCTGTAAGACAGGCTTGGTTTCTGTAATTTCAGGTTGATGTTTACCATAGATTACTCCTGGACAACGAGGTAGTGGTGACAACATCTCATGTAGCAGGTCATATGGCTTACATTGCAGGTGTGATATGACAATAAATCATTGGCTCAGTTCTTAGCTTAAGCATAAGTTGCAGATCTAGCGCAGCTCCAGTGAAGGAAAAACTTCTTTTAACTGTTATCGCACTCATTTATGTAAGCAATTTGTTAAAAACAGCAAAAAATAGATTTTTAAAAAACAGTGAAAGCGTTTTACTACTTACATAAATTATTTGTGTAACGAGATTTTGACATTCATCAGCATCGTGTAGGAGTACACTACTTAAAAGATTACAACAAAAAAAAACATTTTGACAGCTGCAGCCCACCAGAAGCAGAAGAGGAGTTTTGTTCTCCTGAGAAAGTAACTTTTGTTCTAACACCCACTTTTGAATACTGAAAAAGTGAAACTGGACTTTAGGAAACTGTAGGGTAGTATGTTTCTGATTCCACAAAATTTGAGAGGTGTTCAAAATAAAACTTAGATAGGAGAAAAAAGTTTTATCCGTCATGATAGAGAGTTATTTGCGTAGAAAACTTTGCCAAAGACGTGTGTAATACACCGGAGTAACTTAAAATACATACCTTTCTGTATTTCCTTTCGTACTTCCAAAACATATCCTTATATAAAAGACTAGACTTCGACAAAACAAGCTGAAGTTTGTTATTATACATCCATGCTCAGGTGTGTCACTATGACGGGTAGTTGGATGAAAAATATGAAAGTAAGTTATTAAAGATTTCTTGGCTTGCCTGCATATCGATGCTACCCATATGGTTTTTGTAAAGACCTGCTTCAACTTAAAACAAAGAATTTATTTTCCAAGTAACACAAACTGAAGTCAGTTAAACAACAGAAGTGGAAACAGGTACTCAGTGACTGAGCTCTGTGAGTCATGTTAGAAAAGCAGTGCTGTTGTAGTTACTGTGATGGTGAAAATAATTCAAAATATCATCTTGTGGTAACCCAGACTGTCACATATACTAAGCTCGTAACACATGATGATCAACACATAGTTGTTACCACTACATAGATGTTCTTTTCTTCATCTGAGAAAACATTACCGTCACATTTGCTTGCTTTTATTCTGTCTGTTTGATACTTTATGATCAGTCAGAGCACATACTCAGTTTAATACAAACTGGCAGATTTTTGGAAAGTTTCAATTCCTAATATTCAGTCCACATGATCTGATTTCTTAGATGGAGAATGATAATCTTTAAAACAGAACAACCAACCTAACAAATTCAATTCAAAGTCCTTAAGTAGTTCAATTATTTAGTTATCAGCTGCATCCTGCTGCACTGGGAATAAGCGTAGAGGGAAAAAGAGACTCCTGTTTATACGATCATTTACTCATGTTCCTGGAAATATAGGTCAGTGGAGCTGTCTGTTTTCATTTGTAGATGTAATGCTCATGTCATACTGTAAATATCCTGTCACTCATCGAAAAGGGTTTTCTCTTCATTGTTATTTTTACTCTGATGATTGCATAAGCAGCAATATACACCCTGTCTCTCAATGTGATAACCATCGACTGTATATAGAATGGACAGCGTCTGCCTCCTCGTTGGGTGAAGCCACTCCGAGAACAGCACCCTCTGTTGATGGGCTGCAGTATAGGTCATAAATCCCGCCTCCGCCAGTGAAGCTTATGGGGCTGTGGACAAACTTTAGAAATTTATTACACAGAATATAAATTTTTCTCCCCCCTAGTTGTGATGTTGACATGTAGTTATAGTAAGACTGGTTTGTGCTCAAGTCCTCTTTTTTTCTGCGAAGCTCTGTTTTCAAAAGTTACATGGGGGTTCATGTTTTCTATGATTGACACTTGATACAGCCTGTTGGCGTTTAGGGATTGTGTCGTTCACCCGAGGGGATACGCTGTTTGAGCAGAGCGTCATCACAGCAACTCTCGGCGACTCTCCGGCTGAACGCGTACAACGCTACTGAAAAATCTCGGAAATACCGAGAGCTTTTTGGCTTCAAATCAGGCGGGAGGCAGAACCAAGTTGTCCATAGTGTATACAGTCTATGGTGATAACAAATGTGATAACAAACAGTACTGAAATCCGTTTCATCTGTGATGCTACGCAGGGGCTGTCCTAAGTTTTGGACAGAGGTGGTACAACTAGAAAATTGACATAGCTTGGGGTGGCCAGGGTATGTGCACACATTTACTCGCTCAGTTTTTTACCACCTTCTTGAACAACTATCATGTAAGTGCCATAAAGATTTTAGAGTCCCGTTGATAATTTTAGTTTACTTATATATTATTAGTTAATGTGCATCAGCCAGTTTAATAAACTATTCTCTTGAGAGCAGTCCATTCAAGCATGTATTTCCAAACCAGAGCTGCTGCACAAAAGAGAAAGCCTTGGCACAGATGTCCCCTGACTACAGCTTAATTCTTGATAAAGTCATATAAGAGCCATATAAAGCCTTGCTAAAGCCATAAGTCGATGAGTGGCACTTAACATGATTGTTGGCCTTGCATACATTTCTAAACATGGCTTTCTGTTGGGAAGTCTAGGGGCTATTCTTTCTTTTTAGTGTAATCTTGGCAAATCAGGATCTCTGAATGCAATCACTGCCACTCAAATGGAAAACACACAATATATTGTGTTCACCTTTTCCAAGCTCATTTGGACTCAGCAGGAAGCTCACAACAAAGCAACAATAGCTTTTAGGCCCCTGTGGTTGGCCTGGCAGCATGAATACTAAATAGTAAACAAAGTGAAATACCTCAAACTTTTTCATCAACTAGGCTCTTTTTATCTCTTGTTAGTTTTTATGAAAAAATAATGATAAGTTTTATTGGGCAGTGTGCCTACCAATCAAACAGTCTGTCTGCTTGTGTTATTGGCCTATTTGTGTTTGTTCTGTGTACAAGACTCAGTTATTTCTACCAGATAATGAAAGATGAAAAATAAGAAGAGGAGTGATAATCTGCATGACTTTTAGAGCTCAAAAAAGGAACAGGAGACAACAAGGTCAGTGTTAAGCCAAATCTGATTAAATCTTGAGCTATTTAAGAAACAGAATAGGGCAGGAGAGACTCAGAGGATTTGCAGTACTGTCAATAAAGAACAGAAGAGCCAAGAACAGACTGCCACAGACTTTACTGTGTGCAAGACCCATGCTTACTTTTGTTAAAGAGTTTAAATTCACAGTAATGTATCTGTAAGGTTGCATACATAGGAAAATATATCCACTACGTGTCTATAATAAATTTGCCCCAGTACAGTTCATGATTATGTGTTAGTATTAGGGCCCCACCGATATGGATTTTTTTGGGGCCGATGCTGATACCGATTATTAGGGAGGAAAAAGATCTGATTTTGTTAATTTTAGTAATATATCCACATATTTACTTATTTTTTAACAAATGGCTGCTTTTGAGCCTTTCAGACACTTCTCAGTAACATTAACCTCAGTAATATTCCAAGTATTTATCATTAATCAAACTCAGACCAGAAAAGCGTTTTCAAAACCCCACGTTACTCATTTCCGGTCCGGTCTCATCTGGAGACATGCAGCTGCCTCAGTAAGAGAAGTAGCTTGATCACATAATGTGTACTGTTGTTTATTCTACCGTTACTGGCACGGTTAACAGTGTAGCAAGGCTGATAGCAGATGGCTAACTCTAACTTTAGCTTGCATATTACATGGTGCTTCACTGTTAACTCGGCGTGACCGAGACCAGCACAGCGGGGAACATCGTGAAGTGGGTTGAACTGAAACTTGTTGACTTATTGTGTATTTCACAAACTGGTTTATTCACTGCAGAGGCGGACCATTCTCCTCTGTGCGTCCCTTAGCTGTCTGCCTCAGATCTGTCACTCTGCTGTGCTGTGAGGTAGTTAGTGGTTGAAGATTGTCATTAGGTCGCAGCGCCATCTACAGGATAAGTCAGGGAACTTTTCAAATGGCGGAACCTTTTTCGAAATGACACCAAATTATTCTCCGCATATTTCTGAAAATATTGGCAACAATCGGCAGTTTTGGCCGATTACCGAGTAGTCTCAAATGGACTAAAATTGGCTGATTTCGAATTGGTTGTAATCGGTTGGGCCCTAGTTAGTATAGCTGCTGTCCGTGGTCCTGATCATCGGTTTGTTTGAATCAGAGTTGCGCTGAGTCTCTGCAGGATGATGTGAATTTTCAGTTTGAAAAGTTGTTGGATTAGTTGTGTGTCCAAGAAGGAGGCCTGTCTCAGATATGTTACATTTTGTGGTGTGTCTTTCTGCCTAACAATAAGCAGCTTGATGATTTACAACTGAATTAATAGACTTACTGACTTAGTTTGACCCTTCTTTGTCAGGTGACCCAGTTAGTATTCCTATCAAGTCAGCCTCTCTGCTGTTGTTTGTCATTTTTCAGCTTTTTAAAAAGTTGTATCCTCTCATTATTATGCTCTGTGCTGTGTTCTCCTAATGTCCTACCCCAGATTTGAGATTCATCTACATCTTCAAACAAAAAGGCGTTTTTTTGTGATAGATTGTGCAAAGGTCTTGAAAGTCGTGTGCTTCTTGTATAACCCCTTTTAATTCACATCCCATTACCGTACTCCTACAGTTTGATTTGATAATTAATTCCGGCCTAACAGAGATGTTTACTGTCATCCCACTGAAAGACAAAAATAAAAACTTGAATTAAGCAATAAGTGGGCTAGTTGTGTGAGGCATGACAACTCATAAA